CTCCTGCTCTGACTATCTGCGGCGTGGAGGAATAACAAACTGTGGACGTGCTGAACTCACAGCAAATTAACCTCAGCCTTGGTGTGTGTTGGGTCAGTCTAAGGAGCAGACCGAGCAGGCCCTGGCTGCAACTGTCATTCCTCTGGAGGTCAGCACAGAGTGTGTGACGCTGAGGGAGGGACGGCGAGGGTGCGAGCTGGTCATCGACCCCGTGGATGAGCAGCTGAAGAAAGAGGTGGATCTGATAGGGAGAGTCCAGCAGGTTCTGCAGCAGCACATAGACAAGGCCTTCGAACAGCTGAGGTGAGGAGCTCTGTGCTGTGACGTTAAAACAGACTTTTCCGTTTCTGATTCTTCTCTGACCTCCTCTCTTTGTTCTTGTCCACAGTGTTTTGCAGGAGGCTCGACATCAGCTGACCTCTGACCTCCAGAACAAGATGGACACTCTGGACATTGACATGTCCTGCCTGTCACTTACAATAAAGTCCCCTCAGATCTCCCTGAAGACCAACCCGACTCGCATACCATCAGGGTAACCATGGGATGAGGCTGTGCATGAGAAGTGCTTGTTGCTTTGAATTTTACAACCACTACTTCCTGGTTTACTGATTCCTCAGCTAAAATGTAGAAATGTCACTGTTGTTGTTGTAGCTCCTCCACCCCCCAGGAGTGGCTGCAGTTCAGCCAGTATAATGTATCTCGTGCCCAGGAGGCCATGCAGGTGTCCCAGCAAATGAGGGAGGACATGAGTCTCACCAGAGCCCAGGTGGGTGTGATGTAACTACACCCGGCCACATAGTATTTATAATATAAATACTACGTGGCACTTAAGGTGGAAATAAGTTTCTTTCGTTTTTGCAGATTTGTCCCTTCTGGAAAAACCCAACAATACAAAACAACAACTTTAAAGTTATAATCTGTAACTTTTCCACATTAAAATGTCTAAAAATAACTAGACCTATGTTCTATATGTTGTTGAGTTGTGCTCTTACATTATCTCAGATGTTTCCATCATGTCTCAAACCAGAGGAATCTGTGATTTTAATGATGGTAACGCTCTATTTCATTGGTCGCCTGTTAGTGACATCATATCCTCTGAGATCATGTGTCAGTGTGTTTGTCTGACAGACGCTCAACATTAACTTTTATCTAGTTTTAAGCCACATACACTTTTTCCACCTTGGTGGTTTTCAGCTCTATATTTGAAGCAGATGAAGGATTTTAGTCGTCGGACGTCTGGATCTGAAGTTATCAGAGAAACAAGCTGAGGAAATGTTAGACAGCTCAGCTCCCAGCTGCTGGAGACGTCCTGTCCTGTGTGTGCTGAACTGTATCCGAGAAACACTGACTTAAAATGTGGAACTGTTTTATTCAGTGTTTTTACTGTCTTCAATCACCTGGTGTGTTTGTGATGAAGAGGAGGACACCTCTGTGGATAATTCAGCTGCTGGTAAAAAGCTCTTACAGTAGCTGGAGCTTACAGTAATGGTGGTGAAGACAACAACTCCCATGACCCCACGCTATTTCATGACATCACCCAACGCCATCTTTTGTTATTGTTTTGATTGAGAGACCCCTTGAGGCAGAAGATACAGACTGTGGGTTTAACACAAACCTTTTAGTTCAAGACTTATTGAAACACAAATACTGACGCAGGGTATCTTAAAGGTTGCTCTTTCTTAATGAATTCTTTGGTTTTCTTATCTGTGTGAGAATATGAGAATGTCATGCACCAATCATTCTCTCATTTCTTCTGTAGTAACAGTATTTGACTGATATGACACTTTGCAGTGAGTCCTTTCTCTTAACGTCTGTTTCTCAGCTGCAGAATGAGTTGGAGACTCAGCGGAGGGCCACAGAGTTTGCTCTTCGTAAGCGTAACCACCACGAGGAGCAGGCCCGAGATGAGCTGGAGTGGCAGATAAAAACAGTAAGACATCTAACATCTTCTAATGTCAGGTGTGTATCTTTTTACTGTGGCTTCTGACACACAGTGTTTCTAATCGTCTGCAGACTGAAGATGAAATGACAGAGATGGAGAGCGACATCCACGGACTGGATACAGATCTGCAGGCGAAGACGGCCGCCCTGAAACTGGCTCACACCAGACTGGAGAACAGGACCAACAGACCGGGCATGGACCTGTGCAGAGATGAGGTTCTGGAGCAGTGGAGGTGTTTTAATAGAAACTATAAGAAGCCTGGCCCTGGTCCTGATTGGTTCTCTTCTTTCCTGTTTGTTTGCAGGTTCAACACGGCCTCGTTACTGAAGTCAATCAGCTGGAGGCCACGATCCTGGCTCTGAAACAGAAGCTGTCTGAGGCTCAGTGAGTCTCAGTTTAGATAATATCCACATTTATCATCACATTTAACATCCACATTATCCACATTTTTATTTTCCTGTTCATCAGCAAAAAAATTTTTTTTTTTGTCAACCAAGGTTGTCAAACATAAATCAAACATATTTAGCATAAAGAGACAGAAAAATGACAAAGTAACATTCAGGAAATTTACAGTATCTCTTAAAATACATCTCTGTCATCCTTGTGTTCAACCCTTTCCCTCTCCACTCAGACACTCTCTGCAGAAGATGAAGCTCCATCATGGCCGCATGCTGCAGGATCTGTCCAGAAAACAGGAAGCTTTATCTCTGGAACAACGGAGCATGAACACCCGCACCCACTTGACGTCAGCCTCCTGCTCCGGCAAAACCCCGGTCCTGCTGGTCCCTCTCACCAACTCCAGTGGGAGGAGCAACCTGCAGCTTCTGGCTCAGTAACAAGACGGTCTGTGTGTTTGAAGGGATCTAATGGAACAGATATTCATTTTTAGCTTCATGTTTTTAACAATCCGAAAGCAATGGACACCACCAAAATGTGCTGTCCATACTTGGATGTTTCTATTAATATCTTAGTGATAATACAGCGTAGAACTATGGTTTGAATGTTGTTAGAATCTGTGGACTCTCCACTTTCCCTTACATATTCTTATGAGATCGTACATGATTCACATCCTCTAACATTTTGTTTTAAGTAGAGTGAGAAGACGACATTACGACTCAGCGATTTTACAAAATTTCATTTTAGGCATTTATCTACTATTTTACTCACATGTTGTGCTATTTTTATGAACCTAAAACTTTTGTAAACTCGTTTCAAGCGACACAACAATCGAAGATCCACATCAGTAAAAGTTTGTTTTCACAAGAGATTTGAAGAATTTCAGAAACCAGGCTTCAATTCTTCAGCTTTTGGGCCAAATTATCTCTTTGCTCCACGACAACAAGGCACCTCATTATAGAAAGAACTGAGATTGTTCTGAGAATTATGATGTAAAACACTTGGGTATTATGTTATATGCAAGTATCAATGGTGAATTTAAGAAATAATGTAGAAATCGAGAAAATGCCCTTAGACCTCACATGCAGTTCTGAGGTCTGACCGTAGTAAATAAAATGCTAAAAGATTAATTAATCTTCATTAGTCATTGAAGAAAAAAGCAAAACAATTTCCTGGATTTTATGTATTTATTTCAACAAGAACTGTCGCAAGAATTATTCTCCTGACTTGTCAAGACCCTTTTCTTCTGTGGGTAATTTGCTTTTAGTTGTGATCAGCTATGTATTTTATGTGTGTTTAACTTTACTTATTTTTTACTAAAGTAATCTTGCTTGGATATTTCTGGCATCTGAATGTATTTATTTATTTGAGGTTGCTTTTTTTTTTTTTATTTATTGATCATGTAGACAAGGAGCTCACGTTCATGTGTGGTAAAGTCATTACTTTTATCGACCATCATCTTTAGTGGCCATGTTTGGCCTCATCGTGTTGTTTGATCAACTGAGGCTGCTTGGAGAATGAAGTCAGTGATAATGATGTGAACTTTGACTCGTACAGTAAACACACAGTTTAGATTAAAAAAAACTAAACAGGATCCTAACACAATAAACCCTCGTAACTCTCACCTGCCTCAGTAGTAATGTCTTCAAATGGATGTGTTGTGTAAGCCTCACTTGTCACAACATCAGTAAATCATAGTATACTACTCTATATTTCCATGTTGAGACCAGAGAAAACTGAGACAGCATTTCCCAATTAGCATTTGTTGCTACTTTATTTTATGCAAGTATATTCTCTTCTCATTTAGTATTACACTGTAAAATATAACTTGTTGTTTCAACTTAAAAATATAATAAAAGGGCTGCTCTAACATTTTAGGTTAAATAATAACATGTTATAATGATTAAATATTGCTTGTTGTGTAAACTCTTCTCTCAGTTTGGTTGATTTAGATTTGTTAATTTGTTGAACAGCCTAGCTCGTTGTTTGACCTTGAAAATCTAGTTGAGCTTAATTAAAATTGTCCGTTGTGTAAAGCCTTTGTCTCGTTCATTTATTTCATTATCAGCCGTGACAGCAGGGCTGGTTTTTACCTTGTGTTTGTCGTCATGGTGAAATGTTGTCCTGGAGACAGCCACTGTAGCAGGAACGACCACAGAGGTGGTTTTAGCACTTTGGTAGGTGTTCATATGTTTGGACAAATTTTGTCACCGCAGTATCATCACCACAGCACAAGATACAGTCACAAAACTCTACAGGCGTGTAGCTGACATCAAAATGAAGGCAGAACATGAACCATGAGAACTGGGTACTAATGTAACCTCAGACTGTTTTGCAGAAGGTGGTTTGATTCCCAGCTCTTCCAGTCTATATGTCGAAGTATCCTTGGCCAAGATACTGAGCCCCAAATTGCCCCCTACATATCAGTGTGTGAATATGTGCTATATGTGTAGGGAAGTGCTGTATGAATGTGTGTGTGTGAATGGGTGAATGTGACTAGTAGTGTAAACCGCATTGAGTGGTTGTTAAGACTAGAAAAACATACCATACAACATTTACCATATCCATTTCCATACACACTTTATACATAGACACATAAATTCATGGGGATTAAAATGGACAGACAGATAATTCACAGACAAACTTAATTATTTATTATTATTATTTAAAAAATGCATGTGCAAGTGTGATTGTAGATACTGTAGATTGTAGATTGTAGTGCAGTGAAATAAGAGAATGTAACTTAATTTTTTTTAGCTTGTTGTATCTGTCTGCAGCACAGTATTTGAAACCAGTTTTTCTGAGTTCAGTTTGAACAAGTGGTTCAGCTGAAGTTAAAATGTCATGTGACCTGTGATGTTGTGAGTGCTGTGTTTAAATGTTACCAGAGAGCAGAGATAACTAGGCAGTTTTTATAGCAGAACAACATACAATGCTGCTTCCTTTGTTAAAGACTATCCCACCTTTTTATATAAGATGCAATGATGAGTTAGAAAAGTTTCACCCTTCATTGATTGGCAGACTAAATGCTGTAAAAATGACAATTCTACCAAAATTTTTTTTTTTTTTTTTTTTCAAAACATCCCTCTATTACTCTCTCAAAAGTTCTTTAAAATACTCAACCAAAAAATTAGCTCCTTTATATGGGGAGGGAAAGCCCTGGGAATCTCTAAAAACTCTACTTCAGAGGTGCAAATTTAATGGGGGTATAGCATTGACTATCTTTCGTTTTTACTACTGGGATGGTCATATCCATAAGATTTTTACTGGCTTCAGTCCCCTAATACTCCTTGGTGCAGGTTGGAGGTGCTGTCTTGTACCTCATCTTCCCTCTCTGCTCTGCTACTCTCCTCCTTACCACTGAAAATCAGACAGTATACAGACAGTCCAGTAGTTTTTACCACTCTAAAGATCTGGCAGAAATTTAGACATTATTTTAGGTTCTTATCTGCATCAACCTTGGCTCCAATTTGTAATAACTATTTATTTCCCCCTTCATTGTTAGAGTCAACGTTTTCTCAGTGATACAGAAAAGGTATCAAGACCTTTTCAAGATTTATGTGTGGCTGTGGTTTTCTCCAGTTTTTCTTATCTAACGTCAACATTTGGACTACCTCAATCTCATTGTTTCAGATATTTTCAAATAAGACACTGTACCTTTCCCAGTTTTCCTTCACTTCCTCCAAAACTACCATGGGCTGATGTGCTCTCTTTAAATTTACATCGAAGAGCATCATTTTTCTAAAATGTATAATTCCCTTATGTTATACAAAGATAGTGGAAGTGTGATGGGAACAGGAGCTGGGGATGGAGTGTGTGCGTGTGTATGGGTGGTTGGGCGGGAGGGGGGATCTATAACATAACATATAATGTGAGTAATAACAGTAATGGTACTGTGATACACCTGATTTTCTTTTTTACTTATTTAGTATTCTGCATTTGTAATTTAATTTAATCTGTATTTATGTATTGTTTTTGCTTAATTAATGTGTCACTTTTTTTTCTTTTTTTTTATCATTTTTGTTACTGTTAACTTATTTTTGCGCAAATTTCTTTGTTAATCAAAATGGTTATTTTGTAAATCTCTTTTTGTAAAGCGCACCCGTCACACCTGACACAGAGTCAAGAGGCTTTAGAGTGGTGGAAAAAACATGCATACAAACAATATCACTGTAATCAAGACCAGACAGAATTGTATATTGTACAATGGTCTTTGTACAGAAACAAAGATTTGTTCTCCAGTTGTACCTTCAGTTTGCTTTACAGGTGTTCACATGGCTCTTAAAAGTGAGTCTGGTATCTAACCATAGTCTTAAGTATTGATAACATCCGACAGTTTCAGTTTCATGACCATGATAAAATGGCTGTCTGTTAGAAATTCTCATTGAGGCTTCCTGGAAAAACAGAGAAGAAATATGAGCTGTAAGGCTGGTGCTAATGTCACTTTCACTTCAGGTAATAAAGAAGGTAAATATGCCATCAGTACTTTGCAAACATTCATGGCAAGATATCAGAAGACTACACATTATACACATTTGTTCAGAAAATTGGATCAATAGACTGACTGAATGACGAGCAGCCATGTTTTGCACCACCTCAGGTCTTTTCTTGGGAAAACATTTCCTGGTATCTGTCATTCTGCTCTAATAAAATGCCTCTGCAACATGTCAACAGTAATTTTCTGCTCCATTTTCTTCACCAAAAGCCTTTTGCATGACACACCCACTCTTCTTTTACACACAAACAGACACACACAAACTAAGGAACTCATTCTCCACCATAAAAACAAGTCATTGTTTCCAAACGCCCGAACCATCCTCTTCTCACATTGACCATCAGCCTCAGCACATTTATGACTTTACTGCTGCGTCCTCCAGTTCACTTAGATGGCCTCAGCTTTAAGGGGACGGCCATGTGCTTCCTGACATGCTGAATTATTCTGAATCATTTCACTTAAGGGCCCAGATGCTACCTGTCTGTTACCCTTCGCTGAGAGGGCAATTAAGGCAAACCTGGTGCCTGCTAAATGCCCCCCTCCTTATGCCTGAGTGGATGCATCTCCTTATCTGCATCTCTGTCATGATGTCGTGTGCACCTCGCCCCCTTCGTGCCCACATGCATCAGCGTATTGTGGCCACCGCCTCCTTTTTTTTTTTCTTTTTTTTTCCCGCTGTCACCTGTCTCAGAGATGATGCTCTATTGTTGGAGTCGTCTCTGAACATGGCATAGGGAGAAACTCAGCTCTACAGCTGCTTGTTTACCAGATTGGACGAGAACTTTGCTGCCATTAATTGAGAATTAGTGTTTTTACAAAGATGTGGATTATAAATGAAGAAGACACAAGAACAAATGTGCATTTTGTTTCGTCTAATTTGAGACTTTCTTATCAGTTTGAATTTGTTTGACGATTTATATTTGTCATGATAAACTGGAGGAGGTGCTACTTGTTTGCTGGACTTCCTGCGGCATCCATGTCCTAAACTGAAGAGATGCAGGTGACTGTGAAGGACTGTGTTGCTCTTTCCGTCTACACCTTCACCTTCCTGCTCGGCCTTCCCTCCAACCTGCTCGTCCTCTTTGTGTATGTGCGCAAGGCCTGCAAGCGTGGCGCCACACCCAATGTGGTCTACGCCCTCAACCTGTGCCTGGCCAACCTGGTGCTCGTGGTCTGGCTCCCTGTCAAGGCTCTGGAGACTTTGCTTCAGGACTGGAGATTGCCGCCACCCATCTGCCCCATCTACAACTTCTTCCTCTTCTCCTCACTGTACGGCAGCTGCCTCTTCATCACTGCTGTGACGGTGGGGCGTTACCTCAGCATCGCATTCCCAATTATCTACAAGAGGTACCGCCGTGCGAGAATCTCCTGCTTCATCAGTGCTGCCCTTTGGGCGTTGGTGATGCTACACCTCAGCTTTGCCCTTGTGGCTGAGGGAGGAGCTTACTTTGTCTCCATCCAGGATCACACCTCAGCTTGCTATGAGAACTTCAACGCCTCCCAGCTGGCGGTTCTGCTGCCTCTGCGCCTGGAGATGGCCATCGTCCTGTTTCTTCTGCCTCTGATTGTGACGTCCTTCTGCACGCTGCGCTGCGTTACCCTGGTGTGGCGCTCGAATTTGCCTCCTATGGGGAAGAGAAGAGTCCTGACTGTTGCCCTCTTCACCCTCGCTGTGTTTGTGGTGTGCTATGCGCCCTACAATGCCTCGCACATTGTGGGGTTTGTGTTGGAGGAAAGTGTTGACTGGAGGACGTACGCCATGTTGACAAGCTCCTGTAATGTTTTCCTGGAGCCTGTGGTCATGCTGATGCTGTCGCCAGCAGTGTCCAGGGGCATTATGGGAAGAATCTGTGGACGGCAAAGTCACTTCAGCCGGATCGAAGGGGTTCAGCATCGACGAAACACCACCAATGGTGTTGCCAATTTTAGGGCACCACCTACACTATCTGAAAAGAGCCAAGCGGGGGCTGAGGTGACTAAAGTCAGTCAGGAGTAAGGTCACAGTGGGCAGGGACTTCAGACACTTTTGAGAAAAATTATCATGACTATTCCAGCAGGATAAAAACATTAATTCAATCAATGCCAACAAACACCCGGCACCACTACCCACTACTAAAGCAAAAACAACCACCAAGATTCCTTCCTCCATTTTGCATCAGGCATCAGACTGGAGGTCTAAAGAGGAGACTTGTCTTCCCGGAGGGGGTGGCAGTAACCTCACTCAGGACAGACATGGTTCTTTTATCCAGGAGTACAAAAACCATCTTAGTAGTCAAACTCACAGTGCCCTGAGAAGACAGGCTATCTGTCTCCCACCAGCTGAAAAGCCAAGTACCAGTGCTTGATCTACAAGGCTCTTGTCAAAGGATGGCACTTTCAGTTCTGTTCCCCGCTGAAGTTGGCTCCCGTGGTTTTCCAGCAACATTGCTTCGCTATTTCTTGCAGAAGATTGGTTGGGAACTAAAGAAAGCCACCGGGGAGATCGCCACAGCAGCTGAGACCAGCTCAAGATGGTTGTGCCTAACAGGAGCTCATAGTTGGAACCCTTCAGCAGTTGAAGGCTAGTTAGTCTTCACTGCCCCACATAGGTGAGGCGTATAGGCTAAGGGGTGAAACGCTTGTGACCCTGAGATACTTGCTGAAGATGCTGAAGGGTTCCCTACAATGCTCTGGCCATCCCACCACCAAACAATACCATCAAGAAGAAGAGCTGGTCATCGTACCATGCAGCCATACCTTGTAGCAAAGCATCTCTGATGTTTATTTCACCTATGGACAGTCTGATAGAAGACAACCATTCTTCATGTGAGCTGTCCAATGTCCACTATTACCTAACCAGATCCAGTTTACCTCCTCCCCACTGATGAATCAACAAATAATCTGTTATTTCAAGGCAGAACCCAGACAGCAAAATGAAACCCTTGACCCAACACATGAGTCGGGCCCAAGTATGGGTCGGATTTAGTCATCTACATGACACTGTGAACTCCCTTTCCTCTTTCGATGCGGTTTCTAAAGAAAAAACGTTGATGACTAAATGGCTGTTTTGCAAGTCTTAGCACAAGTGCGGAGTATTGATGTTTCCTGTGTATATTCTGGGAATAGTCTGTTGCCAACTTGTAAGGAAAAAGGAAATATCAGCAGACCTGGAGATCCATGTTTTTACCAAGGACACTGCATGGCTTTGAACTAAAAGAAATGACTGCATCATTTCAACAAGGCTTTTTTTGACAAATGGCTCCATCTGGTGTCTGTCAGTAACTGATGCAAGCTGTAACAAGGGAATCACTTCAGAATATGTCAGGAGGCAGGACAGGCTGATGTGAACAGATGTAACTAATATCATAATCATAGCTACATGTGTTTCAGTGGCAGGGCCCTGGTTCACTGACACACCTGGAGCTGCTTGTTAATGTTAGCTACACCTGTGGTGATGAATCAAAATATCCTTGGTGGGAGGAGTCTACTGAGGTATAAAGGTTTGTTTGTTTGGTTGTGTTTGTGCATTCATTTAATTTTATTCATTGATTGGTTTCTGAACATGTTAATTATCCTTCTTACTTTGGTCTGTTCACTTTGTAAAAATGTTCTACAATGACCTTGAAAATAAAGGCTGATTTCTCCAAGCTTATTATGTGTGGTTGGTTGTGATGTCTTTTTTTGTCAAATTGATTAATCATGGACACTTTACTGTAGCCTCTTCCACCTCTCTCACCATGTGTCATTTCTAAAAGGGATTTAAAAATTCTAATGCGGCAAAAATAAGACACAACTTGGGCCTCAGATTTTATCAAACCAGTCAAAAAAAATCAAATAATCATACATTCTTAACAGTACCATGCAGTCTGAAGCTTTTTCATCATAAACTGTTTTTGAACTTTTTTATTCTCCTTAAGGGAAGAAACAGTCTGTTCAGATGAGCAAGAGGTGTAACTGTGCATACAGTATGCAAGAGTGTAGCATAAGAGGGCAGTTAATAACTGTATTATTATTGTCAGGAGCATCAGTAAATAACATTAACAAGAATATTGAGAATGGGTTATTTTTCATAAAAAGACACAATGAAATACAAGGAGGAGTATACATGAAGACAGTCAGCCCTGTGTGTGGGCTGCTTGAACATTTTGATTGGGTAGAGATAGCTTGTGCACAAAAACATGGCGGCAGTGTCCCAGGTCAACTCCATCACAGCCTCGTTTAATGTTATTTATTCATTAAGGTCATTTGGGAAAATGTTTATGAAGGAATTCTCATAAAAAATTAGTTTTCAGATCAGTTGTTCAGTCAGCTCCTGTTTATGACTCCTACAAATAAAACTTACACTTAACTTGGCCAAACAATCAGGTTATGCCATAATTAGACTGAATATCAGTGGGAAAGTGCAGGAAAAGTTGCAATGTCACACATTAAAGAGAGAGAAAAAAGATCTTCCCATAATTTAACAAACTTTTTAGGTGATTCCCAAACTTCTCAGAGGGTGACCTGGGACACAGCCAATGATTTGGTACTTGTTAATTTGACTTCCTTTAGTTTCCATATATGCTTTACACAGGACATACTTCCCTTTTACAGATGAAAAAAGTCTTTTCTATCTATTTTTATGTACAGCATACTGAAATACAATAATGCCTCAGTTTGATAATAATGTGGATAACATTTGCAGTACAGTTATAATGAAAGTAGTAATATGTATGAAAAGTCCTTTTAAAAAAAAGATTGATAACAGTACCTGTCAGCCATTTTTATCACACAATCATTATTTCCCCAACAGCTACCTACCCTGACGATGCCGAGGATAGTAAACTTTCTTTGAATAGTAAAAAAAAAAAATGGGACGACGACAACGCTCTGTTCGGACTTTACTCCCCTGTTCCCTTCACATTCATGCTTCTCACTTTTCTCTCTCCGAGTTTGTTCACACGTTCCTCTGCTGGTAGAAAAATACACACATGATATATTAAAAAAAGTACAATGGTGACAAACATAGGCGTGAAGTACAAGCTTCATCAAGTGCTTTCTTTATGACCCCTCCCACCCCCCCCGACCCCCTCCTCTCGCTCTTTCTCGGCTGCAGGTTCCTCACATTTAGTGCATCCTTCAACCAGTTCTGTCTTTTGTTCAATAATTTGGGCTCAGACGAGGAAATGATTCCTCAACTCCTCGCTGTCTGAGGGGAGAAGGGTGTAAATAAGGACGCCATGATTCTGTGAAACGAACACTGAAATGCAGCCCCATTTTCTTCCTTCTACTTCTTTTCTCAGGCTCCAGTTCTGCTCGTCTGATCCAGATCCTCTATTGTCCACGGCACCTTCACAGTGTCATTCAAACTTTATCTACTTAGTCCATCCTCTTTTTTCTGTGTCAGTTCTGTGTCTCTACAGTTTGTCAGATCCACTCCTTGTCTTCGTTCTTTCGCTTGTTTTGGCTTGAATTAAACGGTGGAGAATCTTCAGGTTAATGTGATCTGAATGTTTTTTTTTTTTAAATTACACCATTCTTTGGACCGTAAATGTGCAGAAAATAGTGTAATTTTTTTATTTTACAGATATTTTACACCTTAATTCTCCGATGAAAAAAAAAAGAAGTGACACCAGTGAGCCTCTTTTATCAAGACTCTCAGAGCAGGACTGCTGGTTTAGGATCAGGTCTTAACAAATACTTTGTTCACTTGTCCATTGACTTGCAGCTGATTAAAGGTGAAATCTGAATAAAGATGCTTTAGAGAGACTCAGGTGTGGATTTAATCCCCATATTATTCATAACCATATAAAAGACGAAACTGATCTCAGATTAAGTTTTGGTAAAGTCTTCACAAACTATTTATATTAGAGTCCTAGACCAGCATTTCTACTGAGAGATACAGTACCAGTCAAAAATTTTACAACACCACATTTTTCCAGATGTTATTCCCAGTGTTTGTGAAATTAAAGCATAAAAAATAAACAATTGGGGATTTTAAAAACAAGCAATCGTTGAATTTTCTTGTTGAACTCAATTTTATCTAAATTTCTGACTTGAATACACTTTCTGTCTACAATGGAAATCTGAAACTATTTTGCTCAGAAAGTCTAGAAGTTCCCACTAATGTGTTGCACTTGTAGATTGATTTTTTTTCACCTTCTGTGCAGTTCATCCCAAACCATCTCCATGGTTCTGTTCTTTTCCTCTAATGTTTTGAGGCACCTGTAGGAAGCACCTTGTTTGCATTAACTTTCAATGCTTCCTCTACTGCAGGAAATTTGCAACTTAACCAATTTCTTAGCCTCTAAAAATTCTTCTTTTCTATTACATATACATATTTTCTGTCATTCTTTATTTATCTTTGGCTTTTACTGCTTTGTTTTGTACCATTCAAGGTTATTCACTGGACTTGAGCTTCTTAAATCTCAATAAAAACTGGAAACATGGAAGTGTTGTGAAACTTTTGACCGGTCGTGTACTTGGCACAAGTGGGCTCCAGAACTGAGAAGCACATTGTAAAATATCTGTGTTCTAACAAGTAATTTAATGTTGTACTCAGCATTTAAGCGTCTTAAAAGGAAGAAAAAAATGGCACCAAGTGAATTAACTTTGACTTGTATCTTTGAACATGATCAAACAACAACCCCTTTCAAAATAAAGTCACAGAGAAGTGAATCTAAACTGATTCAACTGATGTCTTGTTGTATTTTCAAATTCAGTAAAAAATCTCCACCAGCCATTTTGTTTTTTCTTGTTTTAAGACTGTAATACTGAACACAATTAAATGACTTGTTCTTATGGACCTTTTTACACTGCAGTGATTCCTGGAACAGAGGGGGAAGACGCAGCCTATGAGTTCATGTGCTCCACCTGAATGGCTGATGTGGAGACAGTTAGGCAAAGGTCTTTGTGGACCACTGGTAGGTCCGCCACAGAGACTGGTTTGTACTGGATCTCACTGGCCGCCACTGTCTTGTACTGGTGCAGGTCAAATGGGCATGGGACCACGGCTTCCGTGGGTTGCTGGGGGGGCTGGTAGCTGCCTGGGGGTCCCGCATTAGGGTTCTGGTTGGTGTTATTTGGATTGGTCTGGTTTTGGAGCTGACTCGCTCTGCCTGCACCTCCACCTCCTCTCCCTCGGCCACGGCCTCTTCCCCTGCCCCCTCCTGGTGTAAGGCCCTGGGCCTGATGAGCAGCTACTGTTGCTGCCACCGCTAGCGGGTCGGGGTTGTGCTTCCTCATGTGTTTCATTAGATACGTCTCCTGGAGTCAGAGAAAGACAGAAACAGAGGACATGAAAAAAACAGAGGGATTAAAAATGGCTGGTTGTCTTCCCTCGGTATATTTACATATAAATCATTTAACCTACCGAGGTATAGGATCGGTTACAGAGGCCACAGGAGAACAGCTTCGCGTGTTTAACAGTGTGTGTGGACAGGTGCACCTCCAGGCTGGCTGCATCTGTGTAACCACGGTTACAGTTGTGGCACTTGAACGGCTTGTCTTTGTTGTGCTGCCGACGGTGAGACTGTGGGGAGGGGAGAGGAAACACACAGGAGATTTGGGTAAAAAAAGAGGAACAGATAAGAAGAAATCCAGAGCCATTTCTCAAAACAAAGTACGCCAAGTTCAGACTCCTGTACTTGAAAGTTTGAACTTCACTTCACAAGTTCAACTCAGAAATCCAGACGCAGTGTGTTTCTTAATATCAGCAGCTCAGCTCGGCACAGGTTACACTTCATCACACCTGTACCTGACTGAACTGTGGAAAATTCATCTAAATTCAAATCTCCACAAACAGACAAATTGCAGTATTAAGAATCTAACGACATTTATGCAGCACACCGCCTCTGTTCATTTTCATTTATATATATTTATTTTTATTGAGATGTGGTGGTATATTTGTACAAAGAAGCTGTCAGAGGAAGCACTGTTGTTAAACCTTCCAACAAATCACATATTTTTAGCTTCATCTTCTCACACTTACCAGCAGCAACAAATATTATATTTAAAGTCAGAGATCAAATTTCATCTTCCAAAAGGAATTTTTATCAGATATCAAAACACTACAGACAACAGAACCACCAGTAAATTGCACTCGAAGGGATAAAACCTTTTCTACCGGGACAACGGTGCACACCGACTGGCCGGTCTCCCCCGGCAGGACGGTCCTCACATCTCTGAACACGCCCCATCAAATTTCCAAACAGGTGTCATTTGGATAAACTGACAGATTTGAAGACTTAACAAGACATTTGAAGACATAACAGTCCTAGAGTGAAAATTGTTTCAGTTTTGGCTCAGAAGTTCTGCCATTGTCGCTATTTGGTGCAAAATGCATTCTGGGATACTTAGCTGACCCAAGTCCACACAAGTCACACACGGATGTATCTGGGGTAAAACGGGTGGAGCGAGAACACTTCAGATATTTGATCTGTACTTGGGTACATGTGGACTTTGAACTGGAACTGTACTTGGACTGTGACTGATGACGTTTCACAAGAAAACAAGTACAGAGAAGAACGCAGAGAGAGAAACGGCTAAAGTCTTACTTAAGATGTCATCAGGTCACTGCCTAGGAACAAACCTGTGAGTAAATTTACCTGTAGGTTGGACAACTGAGTGAAGGCTTTTTCACAGCCAGGATGGTTACACTTGTACGGTCGGTCACCGGTGTGAATCCTAAAAAAATTAAAATAAAATATTTTACAACATTGGTTAATTACACTCTGAGAGTCACATGCAACATATTGCACATAGAGCAGTGTTATTACAATTCAATTCAAACTTGATCAATTCTATCAATTACCGTCAATCACAAATAAAAGTGAACATATTTTAATAGCTTGATAGTGCAACCCTTTGCTTTCTTATTTCTTAGTTTCCACTTCATTTACCTTCACTTCCACTAAAGGCAGTTCCTTTTGTTATATGGTTTTATTAACTACTATGTCTACGGATTTGAGTTGTGGAAACCTTTAGGTTACTCAGACTTTGTTAAAGAACACCATGTGATACCACAGTCTGCCTTCTGAATTTGGAAGATGTTAAAAACGCATAAAAACTCAAGTCCAAAAAGATGCAAACAATCACAAATAACTCTCCGTGCACCTGCTCCCATACATGCACATATAAAAACCCACCCCAACATTCAAATCCACCCAGACCAGTACCGTGTGTGCTGCTGGAGGTGACTGAGCTGCCTGAATGTTTTCTGGCAGTAGGAGCAGGAGTAGGGCTTGGCCCCAGTGTGGATGCGGATGTGCTGGGACAGGTAGCTGGAGTTGGCAAACGACTTGGAGCAGTGGGGACACTTGTGGGGCTTGGCCTCAGTGTGGTTTCTAACACGGGAAACCAAGGATTGGAGGGTTGAGGGGGGGTGGGGGATGGAGACAGAGAAACAGAGAGAGAAACAGCGAGAGATTTTTAAGCTACAGCATGACCAAACTTCATGATGAACTGAAGACTAAATCATGCGCTTTAAGTTAACAGGATCTGCGATCAATCGTGTTGATCATAGATCATTAGGTTTGACAGTGTGCTCTTTGTGCTGCGTCTGAGTTGTGAAAACACAGAACAAAAACATACAGCAAGCACAGTCACACGATTCTCTCTCTCTCTCTCTCTCTCTTTCTCTCTCTCGCAGTCTCTCTCTCCATTTGGTGTGCCCTGCTTTGAGTGGAGTGTGAGTGTGTATCATGTATAATGTATAATATATACTGTAAGCGAATGTCTGGCTCTGCTGCAGTCAAACTGAAATGTAAATTCAAAATGTGTGGAGCACATCCTCTTTAAAACTAATGGCCTCAAACCCACAAAGAAAACCCAGTGCATGGCAATAAGAGAAATGAAAACATGAAAAAGGTGAACACTTGGTCAAATGTAAAATTAAAACATTTATCAGTTCAAAAAAGATTTTACTGAATCCTAAGCTTTTTCTGTTGGGTTTATATCCAGAGGAACAACTATAGTAAAACAGAAGTTTGCTTTAGGCCAAAAAATGCATTTTACTGTTATGGGAAAAAAATTCACAGACCAAGCACGACTCAATGGATAAGACAGATGTTATCAGGCCTTCCATTAGAAAGGATATCCTACATTTTAAAGGCTAAACAGCATGTATTATGTAATACATGAAGGCCTTTCATTAATTATGTTAAGGTTAAAGATTTAACAGATGATCAAGTGAGTGACTAATTTCTGTGAGCAATGCAGTTTGTCACTTTTTTCTCTCGTCTAAACACTTGTTATATTTTGTATCATCATAATTAATAAAGGAGCATTTGTTTGTTGACTCTTCCTATGTTCTGAGTGAATGCAGCTATTATATGCTGAAGTATACAGTATATTATGCGAATGCTAGAGGCTGTAATTCATGATGTGAATTATGAAAAATATTGTGGCGAAAACAAACAAAAAAAAAAGCATTTATCGGAGTGGTGACCTGGAGTAGTAAGTAAGTAAATCAATTCTCAATGTCTGATTAGCAGCTTTGTGCCATTTGGAGTTGTGATCATTAAGGTGTGTAAAACATGCAGGCTAACTCAGTGTAGTAGACAATATTGATTGATTTAAGGTTGGTGACTGATTATACATTGTGTACAGAGTGTACTAATACTTGTGGGATTTAAATAAGAGACTGACATTTTCACCATCTGTTAATCAACTGTTTCATTTATAAATAATGAAAAAGTTGTTGATCAGTGCCAGTATGTGATGTTAGCTAAAATTCTATATTCACTGGGTTTTTTTGCTTGACATGGAATTCTATGGACGTGTAATGCATCCACTTGAAAATAAATTCTGCTCTGTTTTTCTGAATTCACAAGATTATTTTATGAATTCAGAAAAACATAGGATTTTGTTTTAAGAAAAATTTTCTCAAAAAATATAATATTCTCAAAAATTAATGATATAATTATCTCATTAATTCAGAAAAACAGAGAAGTTTTTTTTTTCTCAATTGAATGCATTACACTTCTGTAGAATTCAGTTGAAAAGGGGAATAATTTAACACAATTAGTGGCTCCTATCACAGTGAAAGATCTCCAGAAGATGCTTCAAACCAAAGAAAGGATGTTTGAAGGATTTGTGTGAAAGTAGAGGTGGAGCCAAAGAAAGCAGAATAAGTAAGATAAGACAACATGCAGACAGGATCAAGACAAGCTTGTGACTATATCACAAGCAGGGATGAAAAAGGAAACCTCAACCAAACACTGGAGCATCCACTGAGGCTCTTGTGTATTCTGGGAGGATTTTATCTCATAAAAGCAACTGTTACATTTAGTGACGAAAGAAACAACTAATCTTTGATAAATAGGTAAAAAAAAAAGCTGTGATTTACTGGTTTAAGTGTGGTACCTTCAAACTTGATGCTTAGACTGTGCAAAAAGAGCTTTACACTGTCAACACTCTCCCAAAACCCCCCGGCAAATCCCTTCATCCATCACCACACACATCCAGGCTCACACACATGTGCTTTAACAACAGAAAAACCACATGCACAAGCAGACCCCCTTTCCCACACACACACACACACACACACACACACACACACACACACACAGGACTTCACAAACCACTCAGCCCCAGTACCGTGTGTGCTGCTGGAGGTGACTGAGCTGCCTGAATGTTTTCTGGCAGTAGGTGCAGGTGTAGGGTTTGGCCCCGCTGTGGATGCGGATGTGCTGGGACAGGTAGCTGGAGTTGGCAAACGACTTTGAGCAGTGGGGGCACTTGTGGGGCTTGGCTTCAGTGTGGGACTTGGCGTGGATCTGCATGTCAGACTTGCTGAAGAACGTCACCGCACACATTCGACACCTTGGCAGGTAAGAAGTGAGAGAGAAAGAAAACGATTTAATTTAAGATCACATGGAGGATATAAATAACATAACAACTTTTTAATCTTTTGCATTTGCTTGTTGTTAATGTAAAGTTTCCTACCTGATCTTATGAATTCAAATATTTTCATTTATTCAAATTTGTTTTCAACCTTCTTAGGCCCACAATAAGACTTTTTCATTTTTTCATATCTTTGTGTTTTTCTTAATAAAGTAGTCATTTTTAAGTGCTACACAGATTCAGAATCAGCACAACCTCAGCTAATAATAGATGTCCCCCAATAAAGACTGCAGTACAGTATAATAGGGCTTATAGCCCACAAAACAAAACAAAAAACAAACAAAACAAATACATTATTCTATCTATAGTGTCTGTATTGGCAGAGATGACCTGTTCTTAATGTTTAATATAAATCTGTGATGTCACCAACAGTACTACCTGTAGGATTTGGGGCCGTCCTTGTTAGTATGATCATCTTCATCATTTGACAGGTCGTACGGGTCACCCGTGTGGTGCTATAACACAATGACAACATATTAGTTATGATGAAAATGATGACAATCCACGCTAAAGTCATACATATGTATAACAGAGGCCCTCACCTGTCCACCTGCAGCTAGGTGTGCCAATATTAAAGCATCGCTGCCTGGAGGGAGGACCCCACCTACTCCAGCCACTCTGCCCATCATCTGTTTGCTCTTCCTGCCTCGCTTTGACGGTGCTGGCATCACAACTGCAGGAGGGACAGAAATATCCTCCTTCTTGTCTGGAAACAAGCGAGGGAAAGGTAAATGAGGGGGGCGAGGGGCACAGAGAACATATATTAGTGATGGAAAAATCAGACACAATCTTTCCCTCACATCAATGCTGCTTTGGTCAGAAGAAACACCAAATCTTAATCTGAAATCTAAATGAATTGTAGATGGAAAACAGGAATCTCTTATTCAAATGAAATTTGGCCTCAATTTACTTTGATCTCAGGTCAAGAGATGTTATGTTTTAAGAATGAACTAGAATCACCTCCTGGTGGGTGTCTGCCTCCTCCTCTCAGACTAGTTTCAGGTTACATCCCTGTTTATCCAGAGTCAGAGAAAATATGAACCATTTGTGTGAAATTCTGTAATAATTGCTGTAAAGTCTTGAGTTATGACTAAAAAGTGTTTTGTGAGGTCACACTGACCTTTGACCTTTGACCACCAACGTCTAATCAGTGTATCTTTGAGTCCCGGTGAATGTTTTTACCAAACTTGAAGAAATTCCCTAAGGTCACAAGGCTAAAACCATGTTTTCTGAGGTCACTGTGACCTTGACATTTGATGAACAAAATCTAATCAGTTCATCCTTGAGTCCAAGTGAATGTTTGTGCCAAATCTGAAGAAGTTCAGTCAAGGTGTTACTGAGATATTATGTCCATGAGAATGGGCCGTACAACCTGAAAACAAGATGGCTCCAGCTCTGACTGTCGCCGGTGTGGAGACATCAAACAGAGAATATAAGGTTCATATTCTATTAATCTAGTATCAAATTCTCTTTGATCAGGTTGCTTCATGGTGCCTGTGAGCAAAGCGCTCAATCCCACCTGCTCCGGTAGAGTGGGTGAGTTTTACTGTGGGGACTGTATTTCAAAACACTACTGAAAAAGCTCATGTATTCCCCTGACATGCATGTTAAAAATGACAGTACCATTATCGAACACAGTTTGCATTAACATATTGAAATGACTGAATTGATGCTGCGCTGTGCCTGTGTTTTACCTGTGTTAGAGGGGTGCACTGCAGACACTATCATGGTGGTAGCAGTGGGGTGTCCAGCTACAAAGGACTGCGTGGAGGCAGTGGGGACCAGTGTGCCTTGAGGGGTGGTGATCACTAACCCCGCTAGGAGGAAAAGACAGACTGTCATCTGGCTGTCCAGCTGCTCAAAACAAACATTTTATATTTATTCTCTCTGCATGTTGGACTACCATTATTTAAAGCCACAATAATACTTTTGTATAAGGGTCAAAGCTGCAACAATAACACAGCACACTTGGCATGATGCTAAAATTCTTTACAAGCAATTCATGTTGTTAACCTGCAGTTTAAAACTGCTGCTAAAACCTGATGACAGTGAACACAAAGTGACTTTTATGGATCCAAACTAAATATTCAGATCACCATTAGTGTTAGCTGTAGCTGAATATTTACAGTACTCCAGGGGCCAGTTTCACAAAACATCTTAAGTTTTCTACTTAAGTGTGACATTTAAGGTTTCATTTCCCCTTAGCTGAGGGAGTTACTTGAGGATGTTGCACAGAATCTCTTGAAAGGTTTCCTTAGTTAAGGAAAAAAGTTAAGTAATTTACAACAGTTAAACAGATTTTACACCGGTAAAATTCTACTGTTTCCATGGAGACTGTTGATTAGCACTTGTGATACCTCATCCTCTTGTTGTTTTAACTTCACCACAGTGAATCTTGGTTGCTAAGGTCTTTTGTGCAAAAATGTAACTGACTTAAAGTGATTCCTGAAGTTTAAGGAAAAAAGTTAAGAAATTTACCGCAGTAAAAGAGATTTTACAGCAGTAAAATTCTACTGTTTCCATGGAGACTGTTTGTTTGCTGGCATTAGCTTGTGATACTGGTTATAACTTCTGGCCAGCGGTCAACATTAAAGGAGTGAGTAATGTACAATTCCTCATTGTTAAGGGTGAGTTCTCCCACTCATCCTGGGATGAGTTCATTTCCTTCATTTACCACATTAAACTCAGCTCATGTTGCTGTTAAGATTGAGTCAGAAGTACCTTGACTTTAAGGGATTCCTTAAATAGAAGACCAAGAACAAAACTTGAAAACCTAAGTGAACATTTTAAGGAAACTTTAAGGAGAAGACTTAAAGGTGTTTTGTGCAACTGCTTTTATTTCAAGGAAACCTTAACTCAGATGAAAATCTTAACTTAAGGTGTGTTGTGCAACTGTTCCTTAAACATACATCTTTAAGATACCAACAAACAAATATAATAAGACAACAGAGGAATAGCAACTGAAGTGCTGGACGTGATGATTCAGGCAGGGAAAAGGACCCAGCAGCAGCTCACTGACCTGCAGTCATGATCCCCGTGGAGGGAACAGGCACAACGGTGACGTTCTGGGAAGTGTGCGATTGATGCAGGTGTCCCCCCACTGCACTTAATGGTGCGCCGCCGCCACCTCCTCCTGCACCCCCACCTCCTTCCTGTTTGGGAACAACCCGCACCCCGGGCCCTCCATCCACTGAGCCGGGAATGGCGAGCACAGCTGTAGGGTAGTGGGGGGAGGAGGTGGAAGACGCAGACGAGTGAGGGAAGGAGGGTGCGTTGGTCTTCTCTGGACCTAGCTGCTCCTTCGCCTTGTTCAGGAACATGGCGTTCTCGATCTAAAGAGGGATGTGTAGAGGGTAGGGTTGGTGGTAAGAGGAAGGACAGATGGGGGAGTGACAACAGGGTGAGAATGGGGTTAAGAAGAAGTAGGGGAAGAACAGGGAGAAGGATAATAAAGTATGAAAGAGGCAGGAGGGGCGAGGGACAAGAGGGTCGTAAAGGTGAGGAAGAGGAGTAGAATGATGATAAATAATGGAGGTGATGTAACAGGTGTGTGAGGAGGACAGAAGTTTCAAATGACAAAGCAAAAAGGACAAAAACAGGAGAGAAGACAAAGGAAATAAGATGAAAAAGAGGGAAGATAAAAGAGTGACAATGAAGGAAGAGGTTGGTGGCATATGAACGATTTAAGTTAATGTGATGGTGAAGAAACAGGAAGGAGGGGGGAGGTGTCCCAAAGAAGGATGAGGAGAGCGAAGGGTGGGAGTGAATGATAGGTGAGGTCCATGTAGGGAGACGACAGAGGAGGAGAGAAAAGAGAACGAAGGCATGATGAGATGCAAAAAGTAAATGAAAAAAGGAACAAAGAGGGGTTGAAGTGATGAGAGAGGAGAGGGACAGGAGTGATCATGTGATCAGGTGAACCTTCACCAGGTCAAGAACTCACACTCAGATGACTTCTATGTGATGTTAAGCCAACTTCACGGACTAAGCGAGCACTATTCAGTGGTGTCATTATCAACATCTTTAAAGCATCTCCATAAACAGAGTGATATTGGATTCCAGTGTGTCACTAAACCATGTGTATTTCAAGACATTTCCAACAATAAGGTTGTCTCTACCTGTCCTTGTACAGTGGGGACGGGAGACCAAAAGTATGATGAGTTGAAATGGGAATCGTCCATTATTTCTGTAATTAAAAAGCAACACACTTAGAAAACACCCGTCCTCCTCCTCCTCTTTCTTACTATGCTCTTCTTTTTTGTCTTTTTTTTTTTTTTTTACTTTCATGTGAAATGAGACCGCACATGGCTGCATTTCAATCATCTTAGTTTGTTTCCTTTCCATGTATCCTCTCCTCTACACACACGCTGTACACATCAAGTTTCACAATCAGTGTGGCATTCAAAGACTCGTCAGTTTAAGATGGCTCTTACAAATGTCACCAGTTGAAGGTATGCTTTTAGGTTTATGGTGTTAGGTTTGTTTTAACAACATCTGATCAGATTTACAGAGAAGAGGACATTAAAAGGAATCAGGCAAAGATGATCAATCCCAGAGGGGATAGATATTAAAAAATACCTTCATGAGGACAGAAGAGGCAAGAAAACCTAGTGAAAATCAGTATTTGAGGCTTTTTATAATGTATTGTGATACAGCCCATGCACTTCCTCACCAGTCTCTTACACAGTATGTGTTGCTATTAACAAATTTCACAATCTTAGAGTGGCTGCTGCATCAGCAACAGTCTAATTTTGGAGAACAACCCAATGTTATGTGTCAGAATGTTGCAACTATTTATTGCCTGGAAAAAGTAACACAGCTGTGTTGTGCCAAACAGTACGTGTTGAACATAACATCCTTTCTAAGAGTGCATATGGTTTGTTGAAAACAACACTCACTGTTTAAAAGACTACTTTCTATCTTTTCATCATGAAACCTCTGATCCTGTCTCCTGGTCATCTCCCACTGACACAAAGGCAACATGTTCTCTGTAGCACAAAAAAAGGAAGTTTCATAGTTTCATTGTTCTATGTTGGCATGCATTTTAACTTCATTTTCCACATACTTTGCTACTGTTAAACCAACGATAAAATAAATTGTGAGGTTAGATTTTCCTGTATGCATGTGCAGATTGTGAATGCCATGCATAGCCATATTGCTCACATACCAAGAAACGCATGCATGTAATTACATGTTAGTAAAGATGACATTTAATAAAACTGGTAACTGTTAAGCCCTTAAGGGGAGTACAGGCCCATAAAAAATTAACTTTAACATAATAAACCATTACACTAATCAATTCTGAGGAAACAATATATTTCATGCAAAACATTGGCAATGCATAACTCAATACATGTCTAACGTTATTTTTCATGAGCCTCCTCTCCCCTCTGCAGTTGCACAACCTATAAATAAATGATGGGGAAAGCTTCTAAGGAAAATTAATTAATTTCCCACAGGCTGTAGATTTCTGGCAACTTAGCGTCTGATACAAGGGGTCGTTATTGCTGTAATACAAAGTCAATGTTTCAGTGTTCTGAGAGCCATTTTTTTCTGTCGAGGGACACAAACTGGCTCCAAAACTGTGGCACTGCTAGCTGCGGGCTAACCTTAGCAGTGATTGATGAAATCGTGTAAATGCGAATTTGTCTGAAATCGCTTAAATCAGGGGCGCCCTTTCAAAACACTCAGGCTAGATGCGGTACTCTGCACCTAAGCAGCTGCCAAGGGCTACATGAGACATCTGGGTTCTAAACAATCATGGCTAGCGTTAGCTGGTTAACGCAACAAGACAAGGGAAGCTAGCTAACTTGCCTCCATTAATTTTCTCCTTTTGTTCGCTGGCTTGCTCTAGCTACAAGGAGGCCTATATATTCATATGCTTAACTAGCTGGCCGCTTGGTAAACACAAACATCCTTGCTCCCTACGCCTCCATTCCTCACTCCCTGCTCATCTCACTGAGAGAAAATAAAAAAAGAGAAAAAAAAAGTCTCGAATGTAACAAAAAAAAAAAAAAAAAAAAAAAAAAAAAACGAAGACAGAAAAAAAACGTCGACGCCGTTGCCTCTGTGGGAGACGCAGCTTCATGCAGACTTCCGGCGGTTGGGACGACGGTGCTCTCAGACACACTGAAAATAACAGTTAATTAACAACCGACTTAGAACTCCTGTGTTAATTACCGGTGGAATCGATTCCCCTTCAACCCCCCCCGGAGCTTCTTCGGGTCGGGACAGTTGGGAAACTTTGTCCAAATCCGCCCCTCAAACCCCTCAGATGTGCCTTTTTTTCTTCGTTTTTTTTTTCCTTTTTTTCCCTCCAGCTCTCCCCAGCAGAGTCAAGTCAGCCACAGTTAAACAGCTATGTTTCCGGTCACGTATTTCAAAATAAAACTCAATGTACCTTATAGAAATATCTGAATAATGTATTTGCACATATTTGCTATACAATATTTTCTCAGTCTGTACATATTTTTCTTCAGATAGCATCTAGCTCCTTTTCTATATTTACTTTATTTAATTTTATTATTTATTTTCTTTTTGAATTTTAAATTTCTAGTATATATTTTAGTTAGATACAATAACTGATAGTATTAGGTAAGAGAGACAGCTAAATAAGAATTTTATAATATTTATCCTAGCTCTGAAATGTTGCTCAGCCCTTTTTTTAAAATGCTGTTATATTGTTGTGTTACCATTTTATGCTTTCTATGTAATCACTTATTTTATTTGAATGATTTATTATTTATATTTATTATTAATTTATTATTTATTTTATTATAATTCCATTTCATTTTACATAAAGTTTTCTGATGTTTTTCATTTCACATCAATGTATTTAACATGTTTTTATGTTCATTTTATGTCTTTTCATGTGAAGCCCTTGGTGCAGGTCATTTCTTTGTTTTGAAGCACTTTTTGCTACATTTCTTGTATGAAAGGTGCTATACAAATAAAGTTCATTATTATTATTATTGATAAATTGTTTAATTTTGCACACGATAATGAAACCTTCAGATCTTGAATCTATGTATTTGGCAGTAGACATTTCTCTCCATATGTAATGTATTGGTTCTACTGAGTGTTTTGAATTTTGCTTTATAGTACACATAGTGGTTCGTCTTAATTCTGAAGAAAAAATCTTACTTCCTGTACTAGATTGGCTACGTCCAGCTAACTTGATACAGCTGCCAACGTCCACACGGTGCCTTCCGGTGTATCAATTATCCCATCAGTGTGTGTAGTTGAGTATATCATCAATTTCTATGTAAATGTTGATTTTAAATTGGATGGTGTGTCTATATTCTTTAGCACAAAACAATTCTCAAATTAATTAGAATAGTCGCACATCCCATTACTACAGTGTACTTGTATTCACAATATTAAAATCAATATTATAATTTCCTGTCCTCATCAGGTGAAATAAATTATCTGTCACTGAATGTGCCCCACTTTTAAATATTAAATATAAATATTTATCATGGGTTTAGCATCAGGGAGAAAGCAGAGTTGTGGTTAGGGGGTTGCTTGTTTGAACCCCTAGACAAAAACAAATTACACTAGCAAGTTCCTTTGGGCAAGGCACTGTAACTCAAACTGAGCTGATGCGCTAATGTGAACCAAACTCTATAATAAAAATCTATATTTTTTGACAGATTAATGATGTTTATTAGGACCCCACCATGCATGCAAGCTCTGTTCTTCATGGGGACCCCATAATAACATCATGGAGTTACAATTCAAAAGGAACACAATTTGTCCACTGATGAAAATAAAAATAAAAAATGGAACTAAAATATAGCACAACAAACATGCACAAATCAAATATGTAAACAGGAAATAATACATGAGCGGAGTTAAGACTACAGCATATAATTATTCTGTTTTCACACACAGTAAAGAACATAAGTGATTTCCCTTTTGCAATTTAATGACAGGTATACAGTGTACATGACTTTAGAATAACATTTTCCTAAAAATACAAATTTCCTGAAGTGCAACAATGCAGAAAACTCAACTAAACTTAAATACATTTATAATGAAACACTGTGACATCTGTTAGTATGAGTTAGAATTGTTATCAGTGACAGTGCTGATACTGTATCAAATAGCAAATATATACTGTATAAATACATCTATATCCATATGTAGTGCCATTTCAGAGTATCATTACACTTACAGAAGCACAAAGATTACAATTGCTTTTCTATAGCGAACCAAAAGGTAACCTCCTACTTTGGTAACCACACAGCTTAGTAGCATAAAGCATCCTGACAGGTAAAGTGTGACAGGTATCGATGCCTGTATAATAACAGCAGTGTTCATCTTAACATAAATAACATTCACAATTAGAGAGCAACTTAAATACATTTGGCTTTAACACGACCAGCAGTGCAGGGAGGTCACAAACAAACAGTGAGGCGTTCAGGGCCGGGTATCATGGAGGAAACAGTCAAACAAAATCAGACAAGCAATTCATTTTCTCATTACAGATGACACTAAATTAAAGTCACTGTAATATTCTTGAATGTTTGAGTGTCTCTTGATGCCTTCAAGTACATGTCCAAATAAAGAGTGCCTCCATGAAACATGATTTTTTACCCAGCCCCAGAGGTTACGGTGAGGGAGACGGCGTGACAGGGTTATTATGATGTAAGGCTACTTGGAACTGTTATATTATATTTATTCTGGGTGACAGATGCACAAACTCTATGATGAGAAGTGACTAATATACAATAAATGTCTATTGTTCCTGATTAAATCTTGAATATCACTTTCCCTGAAATACGAGCTGGCATCATTTGACGGTTAATAATCTAACTGACTTTTTAGCATCTTTATTTAAAAAAATAAAAAAATAAATAAAATAATGATACATATCTCAGCATTTCAATACAATTATCTCATAATTATACTGTGGTATTCCCGTGGCTACGACAGAAGGTTAAAGCTAAACTTTACACCACATTTACCTTTAGTTCCACAAGCCACACCTTCATGAGAGCTGCTACATTACTGGCCATAATAGCACAAAAGGCACCACTTTACTTAAGGTATTTAACTAGTGTTTATTATTATATTATTGGGCTGCAGCTTCAAGGGAACCTGGACAAGAAGATCCAGCCTCAAGCTCCGGTTTGAGCCTCGATCTGTTCCTGTGTCTGACCTGAGACCCACTTTCTCAGTCTCTTGTAACATGCAATTTTACATTTACACTATATGTGTACTGCATGCTCTTGTCTATATAGACGTACAGCAGGTTACCAGTAAACTGAGCTGACCATTACAGAGCTCTGGCAAAAGTTATAAAAATATAAATTATGTTACAGAAGTGCTCGGTAAAGAACCTAAAATGATGGAATAAAGCGCTGAAGATAAATGAACATGCACAGAGAAAAGTGTGAGATAGGGCTGCAGCACAGGTATTTAATACCTCATATAATATTATACTGGTATGCCTTAAGCAAAGGATCCTTAAAAAATTTTTTTCAAAAACCTAGAAAAGTAAACATTGATTCAGCAGGACAAGACTAAAAGAAATACAGTAAACATCATGGATGGAGAACACATATCTAAAATAGAAAACAATGACAGATTTCAAAAATATAAAACTAATAATGTGACAGATTCACTGATGGTGTCATAATTTAGATTTTGCCTGTAAGTCTTCTTCATAACCAAACATCACAGATCGACAAAATGATTATCCAGAACTCATTCATAAAGTAAAAGTAATGGATTCTGTCAGAAACACATGATGAGAAAAAAGTGATGGCTTTGGTTTAGTATTAGACTGCGTGATGTTATTAGCATTAGTAAATGAAGGGTTTGAATGCATGTTTTTTTTTTGTTAGTCTTTCATGTTAAGATGCACTTACGGTTTGGCAGCAAGGCGGCGCACACAGGCAGATACGGAGGTAAACACACACAGTGAGGACAGATGAAGACAAAGACTTTCTGATTAGTGCGACACAAACACACACAATGTGTAGGACATTTTAAAAAAGTACAGGACACACAGAGACTACAGTTACATTTGCTGCTTCTTTCAATTAATTTCGAAATCATAAATATAATAATCATATTGTTGTATTTTATGTTTTAGTTGTTTTTTTTAAATAATACATAATTATGATATTGTGATTTATAATTTCAGATTTAAGTGATGCTGCCATTAAACAGCAGTTTAAAGTTTTATTTGTCACATGCCAAGGTTCAACCACAGTAAGCAAAGCAGTGAAATAAATAAATTAGATATTATGAAAAATATTCCATATTGTGGGAAATATCACAATAATTTATATTATCAAATATGGGCCCTAGTTTAGCAGGAGGTATAATTTGAACACTTTGTCTTTACAGAGCGGTGGTTCCCAATCTGTGGGCCGAGGCCCACTGGTGGGCCGTGAAGGTATTGCAAGTAGGCCCACAAGTCATATGCAAAACGGTACAATTTTGGTGAAAAGATGCAATTATTAAAAAAAACAACAAATATATAAATAATCTTTTAAATGTTTTAAAAGAAAATGATCTTTAAAAATATTAAAATTTGTTTTGATCATGTTTGATCATTAAAATTAAAAGTGCTCTGAGAAGACATTATTTGGCCTCTGTATGGTTACAGTTGGTAAAGGTTGAGAACCACTGTTATGTAGAATTTGATGCAGGACCAGTTTGACATATTGACTAAATAAAAACAAATAATCTGAAACAACAACTGTAATTGCAGCCAGAGGAGCACAATACTTGGAACTGGTAATCAGTGACCAATACGAAAAGGAAAAAGATTTGATTTGAAGTGTTTTCACAACACAGAAACATCACAAGAAGATGTTGGAGGTGACAGAGGCAGATACAGGTGATGTAAGAGGAGGGAAGAGGCTGTGAGCAGAGAGTCCAGGCAGAAGATGAGAGAAGACAGTGGGAGAGAGGAGCTGCCTGGTCACCATTTCCAATGGTTCTCTTCAGCCTACACGAGAAGTCACCTGCAGACAGGAGGGAACAGAGGGAAAGAAATATAGACCTTCCTTACCTTCCTTAAAGTTATTTTAATTAATCTTTTTATTTATATTAACAGTGAAATTAATTGCATGAACAACCCTACAGAGATGAATCACTGGACTCTGCAGATCTACTGTGATTTTTAGCCTCACACACAGTAGCTCAATATTTTGTTTTACAGTGTGGTTCAGTCTCTCTGGTCTGATCACACAGATGTGCATCAAACATTAAGCTTTTACAGAGCCAGATAGTTTCCAATCATTGAATCAATGTGCAATCATTATGTGGCCAGATGTTGTAGGAAACCGTTACTCACACACTAACTAAATCAACTTTAAACAGTGATTATAAGTCAGACCTGTGAGTCTATTCGCTGGTTTTGGAGATAGTCTGGTCTCTAGTGGCCAAAATATTTCATCAGTGAACATTTTCGAACGACAGCTGGAAACCTGTTTATTTAACTTGTATTTTAATTTCGCTCATATTTTACTATTCTTACTGGCTTCTGTTTTTATTTTCATTTACATATTTTATCATTCTGTCTTTCTATTGTCTATTTTTATTGTCCTTCAATTTGCCCTTATTCTCTTGTACCATTTGATTTTTTTTTATTGTAAAGCACTTTGAACTATAAATAAAGTTTATTATACCTGGGAGATGTTGACTCCGGTCAGTTTCTCCACGGCATCAGGGAGGCGGGTCATGATCTCCAGCACCTCTCCTGACAGTTTGGCGGCGCCCACCTCCCCGGCTCCACTGGACACCATGGTAACCTTCTTGGCTTCACACAGAGGTTTGCTGATCTCTTCTGCCATCTTGTGGGAAACACCAAAACACGTTTAAAAACTGTGATCGAAGCTTCATTAAACTCTTTCCACAGGCAGAGGAAACATGAAGAACATGCAGCAACTAAATGACTCCGAAAAAAAAATTAGCTAAATGAATTTAATGAACCAAATAGGAAGTTTTTAATACACGTGCCATAAATGATTCAAACTACAAAATAAGTATCACAACATCATAAGTATTTGGCTTTATGGTTTCAATTTAAGATTTTTTTCAAGTTTTCAAGTTTTTTTTAAATTTTATTTTATTTTTAAGTCATGTATGCATGACTGTATCATTCTGGCTGGAAAAAGAAAAATGCCTCCATCAACAACAACAACACGTCCACTATGGGCTTGTTACAGAACAGAAAGAAATAGCAGTAGTTTAAATTTCCCAAGTTTCATAAAATGGCTTTGCTGTGACCGTTTTAAAAACACTCCGGAATGACGCCTCTTTTTGTTTTCAGGGATGGATTTGTAACAAAAACAGTCTACCCACACACACGCACACACACACACACACACACACACATATATATAAAAGGTATAATTGGTTGTTGTGGACATTAAAGCGTGTTGTGTCTCACCTGAGGCAGTTTCTCCAGCAGCATGTCCACCATGGCTCCATCCTTATACTCCTGGAAGGCCTCTGCCTTCTTCGCCATCTGCTCTGCCTCAGCACGACCTTTGGCCTCCACTGCAAACGCCTCGGCTTCACCTTTCATCTGAAGGAGACACAAGGACGGACTTCCTTTTACCAGAAAACACAAATGGACACACCCACCTGAGAATTGAATTATGAATTAGGCCCACACACATCAGAGGTGTGTGCATGAGATCAATATTGAATATGCGAAATTCTCAACAGGATTTCCATCTTGAATTATTTAGAAACTGAAGCCAGCTGAGTTGGGATTCTGCTGAAGTGACTCACCCTGATGGACTCGGCTTCAGCTTCTGCCTCCATGATCAACTTCAGACTGAGAGATAAAGAAATGCTGAGTCAGACAGAGACTCACAGACGGTTCGGGCACTTTGTACTAATACACAAACTAGTCCCCGTCTCAAAGAGCCAATGTATTCCCATCAAACATGTGACTGGACCTCTTCTGGCCCCATCAGGTCTAACAGATACATAACATCTGTGAGATGTCAGATTGCATACCAGATGATATCATTAACAATACTAGAACATAAGACAGAAGTGGTGTTTTATTCCTTTTTTTATTCCTCCACACCAGCAACAGTCAGAGCAGGAGCCATACTGTTTTCAGCTTGACCGTCCGTCCGTCCCATTCTCTCAGACACACGTTGTCTCAGTAACGCCTTGAGGGAATTTCTCCAAATTTTGGCAGAAACGTTCACCTGGACTCAAGGATGAACTGTATAGACTTTGGTGGTCAAAGGTCAAAGACACTTTTTAGCCATTACTTGCAGTTATGACAAAATGTCACACAAATGATTCATATTTTCTGACTCTGGAAAAACAGGGATGTGACCTGAAACTACAACAACCACGAGGAGGTGATTCTAGTTTTTCCTTTGAATTGACACATCAGTCATATAATTCTGTGGGTTAGTGTTCTAATAAATATAAAAAATATAAAAAGTGAGTCCAACAATATGTCTTACGTCTTGTTTCAGCTTGTCTCACCATATGTTACCTGATCTATCTTTGTAAACAGCAATGATAGAAAGTCTACATACTAACATGACAGGAGGGTTTAAAGTTGGAGGATAGAGACTTGCTATAATACAGATGAAAAGAATGACTCCTCTGCAGTGCTGCACAAGCATCAGCTCAGCACCTGAACGACGGGGATTCATTAACTTGCCCTGGTACTAAAACTGAAAGAGCACCTGCCAACTCCCAGCATCGTCCTGCTGTTTTAAGAAGAGCAAGAAGAAGAGTGAAATGAGGCTGAACCTGCCACTCACCGCTGAGCCTCAGCCAGTTTCTCCAGGCGGTACCGCGCCGCCTCCGCAGGTTTCTTCACCTTAGCCTCCAGCTCTTTCTCCCTGCGGGTGATCTCCTGCTCCTGCAGCATGATCTGCTGCGTCCGCTCCACCACCTGCACCTGCATCCTCTCCTCCTCGATGCGCTGCTTTGTCTTCGCTACCTGGAAACGGAGGAATAAATTGAAGATAAATCACATCAACAAGTAAAGGCAGATGCAAGATGATCTAACAATGTCCAGTTGTTATTCAGTCTGGTGTACCTGCAGCTGGTAGGCCATCTCAGACTCAGCCTTCTTAGTGTTGACCTCTATGTCATAAGCTGCCTTCTTCAGCTCGTAGTCCCTCTGGGCCTTCGCCATTTCGATCTCATTCTTGTACTGAGCTGAGATTTTCTCCTGCATTGCATGGGCTTCCTGCAGAGAGAGACACAGAAGAAGACACAGGACCAGAGAAGGGAAGAGGAAACAGGGATCAATAGGAATGAGATCTGAAAATAGGATAAATGCTAAAAATATGGACAATGACAGATGACTTAAGAAGAACAGAAATGATATCTCACCCTGATTACAGCATCTCTCTTGTTTTGGGCCTCTCCGATGCGAGCGTCTTTCTGAACCTGGGCTGTGCGAGCTTTTCCCAGTGAATGCAGGTAATCCTGTGAACCAGAAGCAAGAGAAAACAAAAAGAAGAAGATCATTCAGGTTCATGACTTTCTTTGGAATCCTGGAACACACCACAATGAGTTTTGAAATCAAATAACGATTCTCCTCCTGAAAACCATTTGAAATGTGAGAAGCGGTTTTTGTAGATGATGGCAGAGCAGCACCTGGTCGTCGTGAACGTCTTTGAGGGTGTAGCTGACGACACTGATCCCCATGTTGACGAGGTCAGAGGAAGCCACCTTAAAAACCTGCTCTGAGAACTTCTTACGGTCCTTGTAGATCTCCTGTAAGAGGAAGGCGTTTACTGTGATGTGGGAGTCAGGCATTATCTACACAATATTAGTCACATAATGTTGTAAACCATTACCTTTAATGTATGAAGTTGTTAAGTTTGTATTTACTTGTTGTGTATACTTGTGTACAATTCAATACATTTAAAATTCATGAACATCTTCAGTATTTTTCTCCAAAGTTCACCGGGTCACCTCAACAGTCAGGTGGGCGATGATGGCCCGCTGGTGGCCCTCCAGTGTCTCCAATGCGATCTGAGCGATCTCTCCTTCTGACTTTCCCATGAACATCTGGCATGCTGCGGCCAACATCTGTTTATTCTGACCCTGGATCTTCATCTGTGGGAAACAGCAACAGTAAAACACTGACAATGACTTCCCTAAAGTGATAACAGGTGTCACAAGCTAATGCCACCAAGCAAACCGTCTCCATGGAAACAGTAGAGTTTTTACCGCAGAAAAATCTGTTTCACTGCTGTAAATGACTTAACTTTTTTTCCTTAACTAAGGAAACCTTTTAAGATTCTGTGCAGCGCCCTTAAGTAACTCCCTCAGCTAAGGAGAAATTATACCTTAAGTGTCATACTTAAGTAGAACACTTGGTGAGAACCTTAGAAAATACATAAACCTCCCACCTACATCTATATTATACAATTTAATAGTGACTACATGGTAACAGATGTTTTTGTCCATTAGTCTAAAGTAGTTCCTCTGAAACAAAATCTCCTTCTTCACCGGTCATGTATCCTGCTGTTTCTTCACTCACCTGGGCTATACCTGTGACAGAGATGGGCACGCCATGGCGAGTGTAGACTTTATCGCTCTTCACATTCAGAGTGAGAGTGTTAAGGGAAATCCTGGAGACAAACAGGGTCAGAAAAGATATTTATTGATTGAGCATGAATTGCTCTAATGGTATAGGCTACATTAAAGTGTAGGAATCTTTCCCTTGTTCCTTTGTGAGTGCAGGGTTGTACAGGCACAAGATGAAGGTCAGACACAACACTCAGACAAACACAACATTAAGTGCGGTGCAGTGTGTGTATTGGGAGATCCAAATGCATCCTGGATTGGTCTGTTTGCAGGTTAATATGTTAAATTTTACAGGGAGACAGAAATAAAACTGCTTTTCTGAGATAAATGTTTTTTTATACAGCAGAAATTATGTTAATACACAACATAAAAAAAGTATATGTAATTAATAATTTTATTTGGTGATGGGAAGGAAGATAGCCAATGTTTTAAATCTGTGTCCATCAGTCGTCCAGGCTCTACAATCACAAATGTGTAAATTACATTTACATTATTGACAAAATATATATCCTTTTTATTAATATCCTATAGTGGAAAGCTTTTCTTTCCATTTCAGTTTGGATTTATATTTTCTGCTGCTGCAGAAATCTTGTCATCTTGCAAAAATGTTAAAACAGAGACGTTATCCTACCTCTGTATCTGCTGAATACAGGGGATGACGAACACTCGGCCTCCAGGTATCATCAGTGGAGGAGAACGACAGAACCCTGGGAGAGATCAGAGACCAAGCAGGGCCTCAAATCAGAGTCTGGATATGACCAAGGTGGAGTGATATGAACAACATAAGGTTTTTCTCATTTTTGTATGAGAATACTGAAAAAAATGTCATCACACAATAACTTTTGTAAAATGTTTCACTTCAGAATTAGACGTTCAACCAAAAACCGGTTAAGTTGCTCTAAATATTCCAAAAAAATTGGATATATGGTACTTTTTAAAATATGTTTATTATTTTGCTGTATAGTCAGAATGCAAACTTACAAAATGAGAATAAAATACAATAAGACATAAACACAGCACATCATACATAACAACAATATCCACGGTCAGATAAATTAAGTGCAAGGTAGTGTTTCTTTAAGAAGAGCAAAATTATATTTACATATACTGTATAACAGAACCTTTTCAGAGAAAAAGGGAAACAAAATACACAGCATTGTGTTTTACATTGGATTCAACACATTAATTCTCAGCCTGAAAGAATTTCAGTACAGGGTCTCAATATAAGGTACTTTCGTCCCCTTCAAATGAATGGAAATGAATGAAAAGCAATAATTATACATTCAATATAGTACTGTGGTTTCTTTTTTAATATGGCCCTTATACAGGTCATAAATTTTACCTGACACCACCATAGCTTCGTTGGGACCACAGGTGTAGAACATGTTTGCTGCTTCTTCAAACTGAAAACAATTGAAAGTAGGATGATTCTTAAATAAAGCCACCATCATAGTTTCACCTTGCAAACACTGCATTTCATAAAGGAATTGTTTGGCATTAATGTGGGATGGGCGCAGACTGCAGGACACTACTACTATTTGTACATGTATTTATTTATTTATTTATTTATTCATTTATTTATGTCAAATAGGATTGTCATTTGTAAGACCTCCAAACCAGCACCCTCTCTGCTGTAAGACTCCTGTAATTGAAACGGAGGGAGGGATTGGGAACCAGAGACCAAACCATCAGCTAAAATCTCATTAAATGCTGCGCAGTAAAATCCACAAGAAAACATATAAGAGAAGAAGAAATGCTAACTAATTACAGCCAATTATTAGGACAGAATAACGCTTTTAAAATAGGTATAATGCTACTGTGTGCAAATTCCTAGCAGCTAGCTGTCAATCCATTAACACAATCAATTTAACACACACATTAGCGTTGACAAATGAGAACGGATGTGGATAGAGGTTTAATATGGCCTCACACTTACCTGTTAGTGTATAAATAAGGTGGTTTTGGTGAAGAAGTTTCGCTGTGTGAGGGTTAAAATGAATCTACTTAATTTAATTTGATCACCGTTGATGATTTTTCCCGTCAGACTCCGGCTGATGCTGACAGTGAACACAACACAGACTCTGCAGTTCAGCGGCTTCTATTGAGCACGCCCATCGATCAGACTGTGTGCGTCTGCCACCTAGCGGCGCGGTGGGGAACTGGCACTCATAAACCTCAGGTTATACGCTAAAGTTATACTGTGCTCAGTGTTTTCCTCCTCACTGCTCACTGCTAATGGTTTGCAAAATACTTTTATCGACCTCTTTATCCAGTTTGATCATAATGTTATAATGTTTAGGTTTTAATGTTTAGGTTTTTTTTTTTAATTAAAATTGTTTTAGAGAGGTGTTGATTCAACTGTATCATCAATGAATGAATCTTAATCTGAAAAGTAACTGACTATAAAATAAATTTGGTGAAGTAGAAAGTAAATAAATTTACTCAACTGTACTGAACTTAAGTTACATTTTGAGGTACTTGCATGCAAATATTGCACTTTTTACTCCACTTCATCTGTTATATAACTTTAGTTACTATTTGTGAAAAAACTACTGAACATCTGAGATGGAGTGCACAAATAAACACAAGATCCAGAAGCCATTTGAAAGTTCAAGATGCTTAGGTTGATGGTTAATGGGTGGACGATTTTTTCTGTGCATGAGATATCAAAATACATAAAGACAAAATAAGTAAAATTACATGTCAGCACTACAATAAACTAAAGTAAATCGAACTGACATTTCATGCATCCACTATCTCTTTCTTCACTTTCAGGGTATTAAAAACAGGAATCTAATGAAACATAATACAAATAAACATTCAAAAGCCATGCTAATCAAATAACTGCTATACATCTAATAATAACCAAATACAATAACATTAGGTTTGAAAAGTCCATTCTTCAACTCACAGTGGTTCTTCGTTCTCAATGGTTTTGGAGGGAAAAGGCTTTGCAGACAGAAGGGTGTGGTTAATAGGATGACAGGTGATTTTCAGGTGAGGCAGGGTATTAGACTTGTGATTTAACAATTTGATTTGCATATTTAGATTAAGGGTGCAAAATATGGTCAGATAAATTATTATTATCTGATGTTAACTTGTAAAAATAAATAATTTCATGATTAAAAAATAATCATAAATATAATTGGTCCTGTCTATACCAAATGCAACAGTAAAGAGATTTAGACATTAATAATTATAATCAAAAAGTATGGTAAATGTTATTCTGCATAAGGCACATTTTTACTTTTGGTACTTAAAGTAGATATGATGCAAACACTTTTGTTACTGCTAATGACTTTTACTTGTAACAGAGTATTTTTACACTGTGGTACTGCTACATTTACTTAAGTAGTGAAAGTACTTCACATCCGCTGCTGCTGGATTGTAAGAAATAAAGTATAAGAAAATGGAAATACTCAAGTAAAATACCAGCAGTCATAGTGACTCCACTGTATTCTCTTGTTTTCTACTGGTCTGATTTCAGGTTAATGGAGCTCCAAGCTCCAACAGGGCAGTGATGACAGTACACGGCACTCCCTCTCTTCTTCCGGCCCTTGCCTTTGAGACAAGGAAACCCCTTTAGAAAGAAAAAAAAGAGCTATCTACCCTCTCAGCCAATCAGCGCCCGTCCCTTAGCCACAGCAACCAATCATATCAGCGCGAAAGCCGTCCTGAAACTTTGTCCCCGCCTGTAGGAGTCGCGGCGGTGCTCACTGTCTTCAGACCCGTCTGTCAGTGCGTCTGTGGCCGGTCGGTAACTCCAGCTCCTCCGCTTCTTCTGCTTCACTTCACTTCCACCGAGAACCAACAGCCATCATGAGGGAGATCGTGCACATCCAGGCCGGACAGTGCGGTAACCAGATCGGTGCAAAGGTAAGAGGAAGTGGTGATGAACTTATTTCTGTCGTTAATTAAACGCTTTATTCTAATGTCTACAGGTTATGTTTAATGTTTCTTTATGAAAACTTTTGTTCTGTGTTTTGACAGTTTCAGAAAAGAATGAAATTTAATGACAAAGATAATACATATTCAATTTCTGTATCTAAAATTTTTATTTTTAAATAAAAACTACAGCTTCTCTTTTTGCACTCCATCCCTCTTTTTCAAAGACTATGTTAACCATTTAATCTGTTCACTAGTTTATCAGTAGATAACTAGACAATAAAATGTCTAATTTGATTTTTGATAAATTCACCACAATCATAGTTAGGTTAAAGGTGATCCCAGTGGGGTTTTTCTTGCTCTACTAGCACCAAAATCATTTATTTTAATTGCCAGCTATCTTTACTCAAAGGAAATGTATATGTTTTCTACTTTTACTATACATTTTACAATTGCACAGATTTAGCTGTAAAACTGAAAAAAAACATTAAACTCACAGCCAAAATACAATTAGATAGAAAATCTGACTTAATCCCATTGTTTTAGTGGATGAGAAAATGCTGCAAATACTATCAGATTGATACAGTGTGCCAGACAGAAACGATAAATCACAGTTGAATTGTTCAATTAATGTGATGGGGCATTAAAGTACCACAAAATACACTAAGATCTACCAAATACACTTGTATAGCAACAGGTATTCAGTATAAGCAAGTTTATATGTGAATTATACAGTGAAGTGAGTTATACAATAGAGTGAATAAAGCTAAAAGGGTTGATAATATTGTAGTGAGTGTGTTTCTGTGATATGAAATGAGCATAACTAATTTCTTGTCATAATATCCCTACATGTGAAAACAGTAAAAAAAAAAAAAAAAAAAAAAAAAAAAAAAAAAAACAACAACAAAAAAACCATTTGGAACTGTTGACAAAACTCAAGTCATTGATCCATGATTAATGAAGCTGGCCCAGTTTCAGCAGACGCGCAGGGCCAGCTGCTGTCTTGGCCGCTTGGTGAGCCGGACTCTTTGTCACTGTTTAAAGAGCAAAGAAAAAAAAGAAACAAGAGAAGATGGTGGAGAGAAAGGAGAAATTTGCTGAGGCAGAGGAGGGGAGCGCAGCAGGGGGGGTGAAGTAGGGGGGGGGGATAACAAGTGGCTCAGTGTCTGCTCTGAAAGCACAGATGAGGTCATTTAAATAGCTCCCTTTTCCAGTCAGTGTATCACATGCACACGCCCCGGGCCCCAAAACCACCAGCAACCCTGAAAACCCTGAGTACACATGATTTCTACAGGGAATATCTCTAAAATATGTTTTTATTTATTTGCTTTTTTACTGGATTGCTTTAAAAGTCCTCAGTCAGTCAAACAGAGCTGCAATGATTATAGATTTATTGGTTAATCAATCAAAAGCAGCAATTTTGATGATTGATTCATAGTTTCAGTTAATTTTGTGCAGAATTGCAGAATTTTTTTTCTTCACCTTCTGAAATGTGAATATTCAAAAAAAAAAAAAAAAAAAAAAAAAAAAAATATATATATATATATATATATATATATATATTGCAAAACAAGCAATTTTAAGATGTAACTTTAAATTCAATTTATTCTTAATAGACTGTGGTTTAAAGAAATGGCTGAACATATTTTCTGGGCTAAGGATGTTTGGGATGCACATTGACTGCTCTTTTGTCACATTATTCTTCTTTTTTTGCCAGTAAAAATATAGTTACAACAAAAAAAGATGTACATTATTTACACATCAGAATCGAGACTTAAATATTGGTCATTTTTCAGCTGAAAAATATTCAGAAAATCTTGTCATTTCAAGAATCTGAAATGATATGTAGCTTCACACACTCATCCAGCTGAATTGCTCTTGGAGGGGAGTGGTGGTGGGGGGGGTCAACAACAGGCGTGGCAGCAACATATGGGGTGACTCAGACTCCGCTACTCCATGATCAGTGAAGACAAGTGTATTTACAGAGGATTTAGCGAGTCTGAGGTCATCCTCAATTCACAATGGATTAACTGTCTGAATTCATTTCCCCGGTCCAGATCCAGCAGAATCTCCGAGCTCCGTCTGTTCTGTCAGTCAGTAACTCATGTCAGATGTGATCCATTGAAGAATTAGATAATCAATAATAGATATCAGCATTAATAATCTTCTTTTTTTATTTGTAAATTTGTTTATAATTTTAGAAAATGTTGTCATTGTTCAGTTTTGGTGATAATTTCTGTTCCTTGTCCAGTCAAATGTTGTAGGTCAAGATGTTTTTTTTAACCCAGAAAGCTCAAGTAAAGTCAAAAACCTGTTTCCATGGTGATCACGGGGGTGGGGGAGGGTGTGTGTGTGTGTGGGGGGGGGGGGTGTGAATTGAGGGACAGCCAAAGATGGTGAGGTGACAGTGGTGAAGATTAAAAAATGAGATTTTCTTGCCCACCACCACCACCGGTCTCTCCCTTACCCCCTCCCACACACACACACACACACACACACATACACTGGTGCAGTCTCCAGCCCAGATTAGGGCCAGTTGACTGAGCTGGTGTGACAGCCTGTGCTCTTGTCTTAACTGAGTTTGGCGTTAATGTCTCGGCCTGTAGAAACGAGGCCGACTGAATCCTCTGAGAAAGCTCTGCTCCCTCTGACCCCTCACACTTCAAAAGGAACAGGGAGGTTTTAAGCCGTGAAAAGCCTTGCATTCAGTTCCCTTGGAAAGGAAACCTTTTAGAAGCTATCAAAAAGTCTTACATTTAATTTACAAAGGTCTTGAATATATGCGTTTGCCTCGTGCAGACAGTAACATTAGTTATAACTTTAGGCTGATGGGAGGCAGCTGCTAGGAAGCTCATCAACTCATGATGTACAAATTTTAGCAAAAACCTAAATTAACAAATGAATTATTTTATAACACAACAGGCCCCTAGGCCTAGACAATGACACAGCTACGTTGTTTTCAGTGGTTTGAGGTCAAGTGTCTTTATGGTCATTTTGTGTCTCTGTTGTCGGCTCGTGGTTGATTTAGCGTCTGTGGTAATTTTGCATCTCTCAGTTGTTGTTTTGAATCTCTTTATGGTGTTTTTGTGTCTCTTTCTAGTCGTGTTGAGTATCTTAATGGTCATCTTGTGTATCTCTTTGTGGTTTCTTTGTGTCTGTTTGTGGATGTTTCAGTATTTTTGTGGTAATTTTGCATCTCTGTTTTGAATCTTCTTTGTAGTTGCACTGTGTCTGTTTGTAGACGTCTTGAGTATCTTTGTAGTTGTGAATCTCTGTATGGTCATTTTGTATCTCCTTGTGGTCATTTTGTGTCTCTTTGTATTCACCTTAAGTATCTTTGTGTCATTGTGCGACTCTTTGGGATACTTTAACCTTTTGGTCTTTAGCCTTTCAAGTCTTTTACATTATCTCTGTGACTTTCAAACAAGAAACAGTCACTTCATACAGAGGCTCATACGGGCCCCAGGTGGCCCCGGGGCCTGTGACCATTAGGCCTGTTGTGTAAACCATACATGGGTTCAGGTCACATGAAATGATTAATCATGTATTAACAGGAATTATTGTTATATATAGCTGGGGAAGTACTGACAAAAATGATATATAAAGTCATATAATTCAATAAATTCATGCGTGCACAAATAATTGTAGGCTTTCTTGTTTGTTTTCCCTCGTTCTGTGTGTGGTATTAAAAAGGTCTTTAGAAAGTCTTTTGATTTTAATTTGATGCAGAAGGTTTCAGTGCTTATAAGTTATAACCAAAGTCTGTTTGTGTGTGAGTCAGATGGAAAACTCCAGGTGGAGATAATAAAACATCATCCTCCCTCCATAAAACTCCACAAAGAAGGATTTTTATCTGAAAACAGCTCAAATGACAAAGTCTCATTGAAGATAAGAACATCCTGTGACCTTTAATAAAGAACCAGATAGGCCTGTTTGAACAAATGGTTTTCTGATGTTTGACTTTTTCTGCCACATGTTGGTTTTCCTCTTCTATCATAAAGGAGACTGAACTGACTCTAGCTGGACTGGCAAACGTGTCTGCTTAGTTTGGAAGATTGTACAGGGCATTTCTAATATTTTTTTTATAAAATGATTAAACCTTTAATCAAGGAAGTAATAATTCATAATGAACATTGTTAGTTTTATCTCTAGTGCGCTCGTCTTTGCTTCTTTTTGTGTCAGTACTTCCTGCTTTTGACCTCATCCCAAACCTTTTTCCTGGTAATTTTCCCAAGAGTAGAAACAAAACATCTCCATGAGACTTGCATATGATTAGCACTGTGTCATTTTTTTATTACACGTCTGTGGTTATATTGTTAATTTAACAGAGGATTTATATCAAATGCGAAGTCTTGATCCTGTGCTGTTTTTGGCTGCTTCGTCCACCCTCCGGCTGTGTTGTGGTCTCCTCTCATTTCAAGCAACCTTGAGAAAAGACAAATCACCGACTTCATCACACATGATACAACATGTGTGTGGCCGTGAAATGCAGCTTGTAATGAGTGTGATGATTGGAGAATACTGATCAGAAGATTGCAGTTCATCGCTAGGTGACTGTTTATCACAGAAAAACCCTCTTTCACCATATTCAAAGAGAGAAAACAGAGGTGTTACACAACGTGGTGTTTTTTTTTGTTTTTTTTTTTTAGATGATCTTGTGACAGTTAAAGGTAATCACATCTCAGAGTGTCTCTGGGAAGCACAGAGAACAGAGGAGTGTTTGTAAACCCCTCCCACAGTAAATTGGCTTCCAGTTACGGCTTTTATGAAGCACAGAAAGACACCTCTTTCTAAGGCATCCAGAGTTGTGACTCAATAACGTCACCGGCTGCAAAGCATTTTATTCAAATTAAAGCTGCAACTGGATTTTACAGGTTTCAAGATTTTTTTTGAAGTGTCAGGACTTGTCAGGACTAAAGTTAAAAGAATCTGATTTGATCAGATTTAACATGATTAAACGTAGGTAATACAAAGGGAGGAGACAATAATTGAGTGTCAAACAAATCTTTGCGCGACTTTGCTTTGCATAACGTGAATTCAACCCAGTTACACTTGGTTGCTAATAGTAGTCACCACCTTCATGAATGTATTCGTTTTGTGTATTTGTGTGCTTGCTTTAGTTCTGGGAGGTGATCAGCGACGAGCACGGCATCGACCCAACAGGAACCTACCATGGAGACAGCGACCTGCAGCTGGACAGGATCAGTGTGTATTACAATGAAGCCACTGGTGAGTAACATCTAGACATGTACTGAGGTCAGGGTTTGATAAACTGAAGTGAGACCCTTCACCCCCACCCTGTGGAGAAACTGGCTCACTGCAGCAGCAAGGAACAAGATATAGAGAAAAATACAACTGCTTTGAAATAAAGATATACTGATGCAATCCTAATTAGCTTTAAAAGTTGTTTTTTTTAATAACAGAAAAAAAAGAAAAACTGCATTTGATGCAGATATTCATGGTTAATTTTAGCGCTCCACATGAAGTAGAATGTGCCGTGTTAATTCTGCCACATTGGTGCTTTTTACATGTGACGGATACCCGTAATGGCTGTTAATCAACTAATATAACCAGACTGTATAACATTCGAGAAGCCTAAATACTACAGATGAAAAACTAAAGAAAACCAAAAGGCTGAAACATGAGTGAGACAATCCGACTGAGAATCAGTTGGATTAAACTTATAAAAAGTTCAGAAATGTAATAAATGATCTGAAAACAGAGTGGTTTCTACAACAGTAAACAGCCACAATAGTTCATTTTACTATTAGATAAAATCTTAAAGTGTTGTTGTTTTATGTAGTTTTGTAATGCTTGGCTCCATCTAGTGGCCCTTTGCGGTACTACATGAACACACCAGCTGTTATACTAAAGTGATAATCTTGAGCTTTTCACACTAAACTGATGCACATGTAATTAATTTCTTGGTTCAGTCAAAGATCTGTAATTATTTCCAACAGAAACTGAATGACACATTTACAATATTCAAGGTTTTCACTCAAGTAAAGTAGCAGTAGTTCAGCTTTAAAAGACGGAGAGTCAGAGTTAAGAGTAGAAAGTTGGTATTTGAACTTAACTGTGATCACTGTGATGAAGTGAGAAATCTTCTTATGAAACCCAGTAGTTACAGTCTGGATTGATGGACGAGATGTGGACAGTGCAGCCTGCATTGTAGCATCATATGGATGAAGCCAAACCGCTTACAGTCTTAATTTCACATGTTGTGTTTACCTGTGTGCAGGTGGGAAGTACGTGCCCAGAGCCATCCTTGTCGATCTGGAACCAGGCACCATGGATTCAGTCCGCTCTGGACCCTTTGGGCAAATCTTCAGACCTGACAACTTTGTCTTTGGTAAGAACACAACCTGCTGGAGAGAGGTTTGAGGCACAATCCCAATGTCCCCCCTAAACCCTGAACCCTCACAGACTTAATTGACATCCCCTGGTGAGTGATTGAGTGTGAGAAGCTGCAAGGGCTCAAAATGGTATAAAGAGGAATGGGACAGCACTTTGTGACATACTATGTAAAAATATTCCTTCACTCCCTGTTTGTGAACAAAATAATAATGTGTCAGATCTGACGATAGCAAATTTGGAATTTATCATCATCTCATCACAAGACAGATAACTCCACACAGTTCTGGCTCTAAATCACAGTGAGCTCTGTGTTTATACTGTTACATACTGTCTTTCTTCTTGTAATAATAAAATTAGCGTTAGCTCTTTTCATGCTTGTGTGTTCACCGTTCTTCTTCTATCTTATTATTTCTTCTGTTTTGCGGCCGTTGTTTACCGTTTTTACCAGGCATTCCCTGGTAACCATGGTAACCCTGTGTTTAATGTCACAGCGCGACGAACTTTGGGAATTCCCTCAGGCAAAGTCTGCAGAAATATGGACTTAAAGAAAGTGTCAATAAAGGGCTCAAAATGTCTGCTAGAGAGCCCTCATGCTCTCTTAACTGCAGCAACTGAATGAGTTCCCAGTGGGAACTTACTGGGAACGAGCCTCAAAGTCTGTGAGGGGGGACATTGGGATTGAGAGTCTTAAATGTGGCCTTTTTTTTTTCTACCAGAGGCCAGAGGTCAGTTTGGGACTCATGCATCTCATGAAGTTTAACATCTTCTAAGGACAATTGGAAGTCTGCTAAATGACCCAGACGAAGGTCACAAGACGAAATGTGTTGTTCTTTATCCTACAAGTGTTGCTGGAGTTTTGACCTCTGCAGGTCTGCTTTACCAGGGGTCTGGGCTCCAGTTCAAGGATGAACTGTGGATGCCCCTTTGCCCAATTTTGTGGTTTGTGCATTTGACAAACTGACTGCTCACTCCTGCCATAAATCCCCACTATGAAGCCAGATTGATCTTCATCACTGACTTAGTTGCAGGATACTTTAAAACAAAAAATGAACACTCATTTGACAGAAATGTTCTGACAGTAATAAAACGGGGAACTGCTGTTTCTCAGGTCAGAGTGGAGCTGGAAACAACTGGGCCAAAGGCCACTACACAGAGGGGGCAGAGCTGGTGGATTCAGTCCTGGACGTGGTGAGAAAAGAGGCAGAGAGCTGCGAGTGTCTGCAGGGTTTCCAGCTCACACACTCCCTGGGGGGAGGCACAGGCTCCGGCATGGGCACCCTGCTCATCAGCAAGATCAGAGAGGAGTATCCAGACCGCATCATGAACACCTTCAGCGTGGTGCCCTCCCCTAAGGTAACTACAGATACACAGGAAAATATAGACATTGACCTCCATTTTTTTTAAAATAGTAATATTTTATTGCTGCTTTTATTGTGACTTAAAGTCGTTGTTTTGCCTTTAATTTGTTTTAAAGAGTAAATACTTAATTCCAGTGGAATGACTTACCCTGTTATTTATTATATTATCAGTTCTTGCTATCAACATTGAATTTAGCTTTTATTTCAATAATAAAACATTTGCCAACTTGACTTAAAGTAAGGAATTATGTTTAATGCTGATCAGGTAATCTTAACTAGAGAGGTACACCAAGATAGGCCAGTAGTAATAAAGAGACTTGCAGCACTGATCACTGTCTGAAATAGACGTTTTAAGCCAGAAAACTCAATAAAATAAGTAAATTATCAGTTGCATAAACAACTTCCTTTTTGTGTTACCATGGCTCCGTTCACACCTGTCATCAGATCTCACTTCCTCACTGTAAATGCAAATAAACATGTTCATCATTTCTGTTTGCAAAGATGAAATGTGTTGTTTTTGCACTTCCTGCTCTTAATCTGCTGGAAATTAAAAGAGGAAGAAGAAATAATCAAGACAATACAGACTGGGTCTGAACCAAGCATCAAGCTCCGAGGCTACAACATGAAGCCAACACTGAAGTGCTAAAAGCTGCAGTTCCTCTAATGTCTGAGAATTGAGGGCGCGGCCTCTTTGAGTGACAGGTGGGTGAGCGTATGCTTGCCAAACCAGCATGCAACAAAGTCTCTGCTCCAAACACGCCCCAACTCTTTGACCATTTTTTGAATAGCTGGGAGGTAGGGGCGGAGTCAGACACTGCCAAGATGGCGACGGTGGAGCAGCTCACTCTGAGCTTGAAAACCGCTCTTAGTAATAAACCTCTCTGTGCTTTTTGAAACTTTCAGATGTCATGGACGAAGCCAGCTGACGCAATTTGAGAACTAACTGAATGAGTTCGTACTTCCCCTTACACAGTTTAGTAGGCGGTCCTTCAGTGTGTTCCAGGACACATTTGTGTACACATAGCTAAAAAATGTGGCCACATGCAGCCTCCTTGTTCCCGTCCTCATTTTCACACCTGTACCTGTGTATCAGATCACCTGAGGTGCATGTTAATGCCTGGTGTGAACGGGGATCTTGAGCTCAAAGTAATCTACTATAGATTACATGTATTCTTTCCATACAGGCAAAGTGTTGATGTTGATCTCTGTCTGTCTGCAGGTTTCAGACACGGTGGTCGAGCCGTACAACGCCACGCTGTCAGTGCACCAGCTGGTAGAAAACACAGACGAGACCTACTGCATTGACAACGAAGCTCTTTATGACATTTGCTTCCGCACTCTCAAACTCACCACGCCTACCTACGGTGACCTCAACCACCTTGTTTCCGCCACCATGAGCGGTGTCACCACTTGCCTGCGTTTCCCCGGCCAGCTGAACGCCGATCTGAGGAAGCTGGCAGTCAACATGGTGCCCTTTCCCCGTCTGCACTTCTTCATGCCCGGCTTTGCCCCTCTGACCAGCCGGGGGAGCCAGCAGTACCGCGCCCTGACGGTGCCCGAGCTCACCCAGCAGGTGTTTGATGCCAAAAACATGATGGCGGCTTGCGACCCTCGCCACGGGCGCTACCTGACGGTGGCCGCCGTGTTCCGTGGCCGCATGTCCATGAAGGAGGTGGACGAGCAGATGCTGAACGTCCAGAACAAGAACAGCAGCTACTTCGTGGAGTGGATCCCCAACAACGTGAAGACGGCTGTCTGTGACATCCCGCCACGCGGCCTCAAGATGGCCGTCACCTTCATTGGCAACAGCACAGCCATCCAGGAGCTGTTCAAGCGCATCTCTGAGCAGTTCACCGCCATGTTCCGCCGCAAGGCTTTCCTCCACTGGTACACCGGCGAGGGCATGGACGAGATGGAGTTCACAGAGGCCGAGAGCAACATGAACGACCTGGTGTCTGAGTACCAGCAGTACCAGGATGCCACGGCCGAGGAGGAGGGAGAGTTTGAGGAAGAGGTGGAAGAGGATGCCTAGAAAAAAAAAGAAACAAACAAAAGTGATGAAACATGAGCTGAAGAAGAAGAAGAAGAAGAAGAAGAAGAAGAAGCTCAAACCAAAATGAAAAAAATCTCAAAAAAAGTGAAAAAAAAAATGTGACATGAAACGAAGGAACGTAGAAGAACAGATGAAGCAGGAAGGTCTGAACCGGTGAATGGAGGAAGAGAAGTGGCGACGAGACTGAAAGATGAACGTAGGCAGAGAGGTGGACGAGCAGCAGGATGAAGACGATGTGACCAAATTAATGTGCCATGGTTTACAGTTCATTGTGACGCCATGTTGGCTGGTTTACCGAAACCCGCCTCCCAAAATCCCTTTACACCAAGACCACGGGCCAGTTGCACAAAACACCTGAAGTTGATTAAACCATTGCACAAAAGACCTTAGTGACCAAACTATTGGAACAACTTAAAGGTACCTCTATGTGAACTGCACCCATAATGACGAGGAACTGATTTTACATTACACACTCCTTTGATGTTAGCAGCTTCCCAAAAGTGATGACAGGTATCACAAACAAATGGTCTCCATGGAAACAGTAGAACTTTACAGTTGTAAAATCTCTTTCGCTGCTGTAAATTACTGAAGTTTTTTCCTTTAACTAAGGAAACATCTTAAGAGACTCTGTGCTTAAGTAACTCCCTCAGCTAAGGAGAAATTAAACCTTAAGTGTCATACCTAAGTAGAAAACTTAAGGTGTTTTGTGCAACTGGCCCCAGGTCTTGTAGCAAATGCACAAGAAGCACTTCGCACACTTCACTGTCATCACGTAGGATTGTCTCTCAACAAAGTAATCATGGGCGGCTTTTAACAAGTGTTTTGTTAAATGGTTGAATTACAATTATTGCACTCACTTCACTTATTGTTATGACATCAGAAATGAAATCTATGGACTTATCTGTTCCACAGTTAAAAGCACTTGAACTAGGGTGATGTCAGAGAGCGTCAGTGGCTGTAATCATATTGTTTTGGGGAAACCAGGTCTGTAACCTGAAAGTCGGCTTCGGAAACAGGAATCATGCCATTTATAAGTGTTAAATGCTTTTATCAGTGTTAATTTCTTTTGCAGTTAAATTCCACTCTCAGAGATAAATGTGAATCTGTGCAGTAGGTGAGAAAACTGAAAACTGTCAGTGTTGTTTTTCCTCACTCAGGTCTGAACTTTTAAAGAAATTGGATGACCACACAAAATTGAAAATAAGTGTCAAAGGCTCAAATTCAACATATATTCCATCAGTAATCAATACAATCAAAACAAGGGTTTTTTTTTTTCAAACAAATTCCCACAGTTTTAATGCAGCAGTAGCAGTTTGAGGGTTTTTCTTAGACGCCAGCCAACGTCATGAGGAGGATCTCGCACTGCAGATGCTCACAGCTCAGGTCAGGTGATGGAAAGAATATTAGCTTTAGCTTTAACCTGTTTTCTATTTCTTACTATTTGGCTGCCTGATATCTGAGCTCAGTTTGATTATAAGCGTCTCTGCTTTTGTTGGATTAGAGCCAGGTATTATATTTACATTTTGCCTGTGACCTCCATGTGTTCTTTAATCTACATTTTTTTTATAAATTTCATGGGACTTCAAACTTAAAGACTAAAAATGTATGTAAGGAAAATATCAGCAGTTTACAACTGGACAGCAGTTCTATCACCTGCATCTTTTTCCATTCCAAGTATTAAAATCATGGAGAGAAGATGAAGAATTCATTTTTATCTCATCACAATGATCATTTCCAGCATTTTTCTGAATTAAATCTCACTGCCCAAAAATGTTCAGTTCAACAGCTCTACTTCTGCTGCTTCTGTATATTTGATAATACACCAAGTCATTTTAAGGCTTTTATTATGAAAGATTGATCAAACACATTTCAAAAATACTTTTACTTTTGAAAGAAATGGTAAAAATAAAACTGCAAATTGGTATTTTTACTTTAGTTTTTTTTGTTGTTGTTTCCACTCTGAGCCACTACAGTATTAATTCAAATCACACACAGGTATGTGAACTTTCTCTTTACTCTTTACTGTGTGTCTGTGTGTGTGTTTCTGTGCTATTGTTTGTTAGAACCTTTTTTTAATTCCTGTACAATGGTTTCAATTTGGATCCCACTGACTGTGAAATGTTTTGGGAGAAATAAAAAGGCATTTAAGAAAAAAAACAATACACTTTTATTGTCACTTATTATTGATGATCAATTTTTAGTTGTTACATTTCTTATAACAACAAATGGAGTGATATCTGCAGTGTGAAGACAAACATCTAAAAATATTAGATCTTTTCCATTTTAAGAAAGTGTTTATTATTTTTGCAATTAATCTATATTTTCTGCTATAAAATATGATGGAATAGTGGAAAATGTCCATTGTGAGTTCCCAGAGTCCAAGGTAACGTTTGTTTTTTTTCCCCATCAGCCCGAAACCCAAATATATTCAATTATAATGATATAAGATTATCAGACAGCCCTCACACTGCTATCAGGTTTTCGGGTCAACATAATTTGATTAGTGCAAATTTATAACAAATGTACAATATCAAGTATGACGGGTCTTTGAGGGAGCCTGCGTGAAATTCTAGTCGGAAGTTTTAGTTTATATTGTTTGTTGTAAGTGGTATATATTTATTGCTCTTTTGTTGTGAAGTTCAGTAAAACGTAGCCTAGTATTATTCCATCATAGGAGAACTGTCAGGCTGCAACCAGCAATTATTTTCATTATCAATACATCCGACAGTTATTTCCTTCAATAATCAATGGACTGTTCAGGTAGAAAATGTCAGAAAACAAGTGGAAAACGCCCCGTTATTATCCCCTGAGGTTAATAGATTTTATATCTTTTGTCTGAGCAACTGTAAAAAAAAAAAAAAAAAAAATACTAACATGCTGAATTTACTGTCAGAAAACTCAGAAATACCAGGAAAAATTCACATCTCAGAATCTGATTAAATCTGATTTATGAAACATATTGCCAATAAATTTTCTGTCAATTGTCTAATCAATGAATCAACCAGTTTCTTCTGTTCTAAAGTAGCATCCTGGTTGTTTTGGGGAAATAATGAAACAGCCATATAAAACTGTACAGATGATGCAAAAATACTCTCAGCACATCATGCATATTCAGTAAAAGCTACGAATCAGAGCTGATGATAAAGTAACTTTTTTTCTATCTTTATTGAAAAACATCCAAGTAAACAAACAATACAAACATTTGCTCAATATATTTGTAAACATAGAGTCAAGAGTAATAATTGCAAAATAAATAAAAGAAAAGAAAAGTACATAAAAAAAAAAAAAGAAAATAAGGGGAAACAAAAAAAACATGAAAGACAAATTGAGATAAGAGATATAAAAAGAGTCAAGAGTAATAATATACATTTTCAGTTCAACTCAAATTCTGATAAAATTGGGGATGACTTTGCATTTATGTATGTGAATTTTATCATATAGGATCAACAAATTTACAATAAATTCAATGTCACATTTATCATGTAAATATGTAATGATATTTTTACATTGCATATTGATATTATTATTTACTTTTGCAGAATATATAGTTTTTCCAAAAAGTAACTGAATGCATCAAAGATTATGATTCATTATTACAAAATGCACACTTCTTTTCTTAACCACCTTTTTTCTTCAGTCAGGAAAAAGTTACCTGAATTACCTGATTCACTCTATACCTGCTCAGTTTAGTTTTTATTCCACCTGTGAGGAAGTGGCTCGCTGTGACAGACACAGACAAGTTTTAGAAGGAAAAAACTAATTTTGAGGTAATACTTTTTTTTTTACTTCATTTATTTCTGTAATATCACTGTCTGCTCTGTAAGTCTTCAAACTTAAATCTTGTTTATTGTGAGTGTATGTGGATATTTTTTATGCTAGCTGTCAGTGCTAATGTTTTAGCCGTTTAAGCTAGTTCATGGCTACAATAGTCTGGGTTAGTTGTAAGAACAAAACACACACACACACCAATTATGTTAAAAATTCACTTAAGTGTTGATTAAATTCAATATCAAGTTTTTGTCATAATGCTTATGTCATTATGTTGGTTCAAGGTTTATTTGTTATATGTAGGTTTACAAACGGTTAATGGTACAGTGAAATGTGTTGGACAAGAAACTCAGTAATAAAAACTAGCCTAATATGAATTAGAAATAATGGAATAAAAAATGTTTGTATTGTAAAATTGCAATCAGAGCAGAAACAGTGGCAGATATGGCATGTTACATTTTACCCACAGTGTAACCTGGACTATGAGGCGAGTTCTAACATTTCACTCCTTGTGATTGAGACTAAACCACAGAGCATGTTCTGTTTGTGTTGCAGAGATAACACCCACACCATTTAATAACTGACACATTGAACTGGTTTGTATTAAATAAAATAAAAAGATGCAGAATATAGAAGTATAGATTTGTTGGGTAAATATTAAGTAAATTTAATTTAAAAAAAAAACAAAAAAACTTTATTATCTGAACAGATAAACTGATGAGCTCTGTGTGTGAGGTGATGACCCCCCCCCCCCACGAGCACACACACACACACACACACACACACACACACACACACACGCACACACACACGCACACACACAAACCTACCCCTACCCCAACCCCACCCCCTTCACACTACGATCAGTTTGACCACATGAGTGCACATCGGACCTGGAGCCGTGCATATTTACTGGTGGCCTGAGGTTAAACTGCAGAGCGGCTGCTTGTCTTGGAGCCTCCAAGCCCGAATTGACGATCTTTACCGAGGCTCTCCGAATCCGACCACCGCCGATCTCAAATGGTCCACAAACCCGACATTAACCGAAACTCTTCAGCTGTTCCCGATCTGTCCCCCATTGAAGTCTGATTTTGTCGGGACGAGATTCAGTGAAATAAAGAAAGAAAAATAGAGAGAGGGGAATTTCAAGAATCTATTTCCTGACTGAGCCCCTCCCAGTCCGGAGATTTTCGGGTTCCGAGGCTTGAGGAAGGTAATTACCATCATCCAGTTCTAATTTTA